AAGAAAGAGGTTTTATGCTCGAAATCAACTGGGGTAAATGATCTACGTAAAAGGGTTATTAAAAAGAAGAAAAATGTTAAAGACGAGAGAAAAGCCAAACTGCACAAGATCAGGAAACTCAAGCTCAAGCGAAGGACTAATCATACTACGATACACAAACGAATTAAAATGGTGGTTATCCGAAAAGCAGGGGACACGTTTAAGTGTAAAATAATCGAGAAAAAAATACTCTCATGATAAGACAGTAAATCTGCCAGAAAAGCCTTTATGCCTCAGCATTAATTTAAACGCCGAAATAAAACCAACTTACTGAACAAGATATTGGGAATCAAGCAAACAGCGAAGCCTTCTATGATAATCAAACGATCCAAAGCTGTGATGAAGACAGTGGGAAAGATATGTAAAAGAATCGAGAAAGAACTGTTCATACTAGGATTGGGAGAAGCTGTATCTCCTATTTTGGCCTTTTTGGCCTGACTTTGGCCCGATTGGCCTGACTTTGGCCCGATTGGCCTGTACTATGGCCCGATTGGCCCTAATAAAAGTCAGTAATCAGAGGAAACAGCTCATTTGCACCCTGTTCTTCAAACCGTAGACATGGCGAAGCGCGTTTGTCGTGATTGTACCGTTCCCAATTGTGGTGCAAAATACCTTGTAAGATTGGCAAATCATCTTGCGGATGTGCATCTGCTCGATATTGACCAAAGAAAGAAGTACCTACAAGAAGCCAAACTACAGCCGAAAGGGAAATGTGTTGTGTACAACAGAACAAATGAGAACACTCTTGATGATGAGAACAGACATGAGAACAAACGACAGCAAGACGTGGTGTATGAATTATTAAGCACCAAAGAGATAAGCAAGGAAAACAGCAAGCCCAGAGTTCTAAATACGAAAAACGTCAGTGTTGAACATACAAAAGACAATCCAAACAATATCCCAGCGAAATGGTTGCATTTTTAGACTAAACAGACGGGGTAGAATCTGGATCATTATACCACAAACTGAAGACTGAGAATGATCAAAGGATTCCTTTCAAATATTTATTAACTTTGAGAACAATTTATTAACTTTCAGAACAATTTATAACTTTAGCACGTAACTTAAGAGGAGAGTTTGTTTCTATGTAAACCCCACATTCAACACCAAACTTTCAAAAAACACCTTAATGCATTCACGCATGCGTACAATATTAAGATTTTATAAGGTTTGAGCATTTTCCAAACATGAAAAAAAAACACCTCCTGTTAATATATATAAACATGTAACTTCAACTTTATAAACACGTAACATTGTAACATAACTTTGTATTTCATGCAATTGCAATAATTTATAACTTTAAAACGTAACTTATGTATTGTTCAACAACAATAAAACTTGATATTCCACTCGTCTGTGCTTATGATTTGGTAATGCCCATAAGCAAGAGTGTTCACTCCATCCTTTAGAATATAGCGTTTGTCGTCATAAGGGCTTAGACCAATTTTGTTCAATTTAATAGAACTTTGCATCAATGGAAGAGAAATAGGTGTCTGAAGCCGAAAAAGACCAGAAGGCGTGCAAGTTCGTGCAAAAGAAAATTCATAAACTGCCGTTTGGGGTACCGCGGGGTGTCAAGACATTCGATATCTCGCAATTAGAAGCAATCGTGGAGAACTTCTACAGAAGAATAAGAAAAAATCCAAACTCCGCGATTGCCTACAAAGGCGGGATAATTGAAAGGGATCTCTTAACAAAACTAAGAATCCCTTCAATTAATTTGGAATGCCTTGGTTGTCCCAAGGCAGATAAATTATTCGATCAGCTTGGTTGGTTGGAGACCTGCGGGAACCATTTGGATGCCTGGGCGTATCAGCACTGCGCAAAAGTTGAGGTTGAGGCCTTCGCGATGTGGTTGGAGAAGACGTAACGCAAGAAAATAAGAAAAACGGTTTGTAAACGAAATTTCGATTCTATTGAGAACCTTATTTTAATCATAAAAACAATATTTTCTTCATCACTGAACTAAATCGTTACTCTTCCTCATACGTATTTCTAGTGTATCGTTTGTTTTACCATATGGATACCTATCTTAGATGAAAGTCAAGCGGTTTATTCGAATGATTTGGCGTGCGTCTCAGTGATATTAAACCCCGTGTTAGTGCGAATGAAATGCACAAGTACACACGCATCGATTGAAAGAACCACGCTCCGTACCGATCATAGACAAGAATTGAAGCGAAGAGTGTCTTATTTGCTGTAAAAATGAAAGTAGCTGACTTAATCTTTTATTGTGGAGAAGATGCTGTGCACCCAATTATCTACATGCTCTTATCCAGCTTTGAAAACAAAATCTTATCCACGCTGGTTGAAGACGAAAACGAATGGAAGATTGTTTTTGATGAAAGACAAACATTTACAAATAAAGAGTTTGTTCGAAAGTTATGGTGTGCATGCGTAGATCACGGATACGTTGAACTCAAATATTGGATTTTTAAGCATTATGTCGATAAAGTAGACATTCATGTACTAGGTGACTAAATGATGAGAACAATCATCACAAAACATACAATGAATATTTAAGAAATGAATTCTTAAAATGAACATACAAATGTGTAATTCTCAGTAGTAAAATAAAATATACTCTTCGCAAATTCTTACTGCGTGATAAGTAAACCGGCATTTGTGTAATTTGAGTAAGATGCTGTCAAACAAACGTATCCTGTGTATTTACGCTATTATGCGTATTTACGCTATTATGCGTATTTACGCTTTATTGTTTACCCCGCCCCTCGCGCACTATTCTACTCGCGCGTGGAGACCACGCACCTCTTCGGGAAAATCCGACAGTTTCCGACATCCCGCGTGGGGTCCACGCGTTGCGTGTTTTCCTCGCTGGATGGGGGGGGCTACCTACTGAGCTGTCTTCGAATACCAACCAAGTGATGACGGAGTTATGCGAGACTTCCATGACGGAGAATTTTGTCGCGGCCATGTCTTTTTTTCGAATTCGAGAAACATTGCCTTGCTTTTATATGTGGACGACTGCGAAATTGCAAACCCACTCGGATCAAAAGCAGGTATACACAAGATAGGTGTTGTATACTGTACAATCCTCAATTTACCACCAAAATTTCGATCCTCTTTATGTAATTGCTACTTAGTTGGACTGTATAATTCAGGCGATGTTAAAACCTACGGCTTTGACCCTATTTTGCAACCTCTGGTGGAAGATATTAAAGAACTAGAAACGGACGGTCTTCAAATAGATACAGATGTGTTCCAAGGCAGGATTCAAATTAGTGTTGCACAGGTAACTGGTGACAACTTAGGTGTTAATGGTATATGTGGTTTTGTGGAATGCTTTCTCAGTCACCATTTTTGCAGAAACTGCAAAATGCATATCCAAGAAATGCGTAGAGCACTAACAGCGAACAATGAGCTACTTCGTAATGTCGACAACTATGGTGAAGATTTATTACGAAATGATCCCACTTCAACGGGTGTAAAAGCTGCGTGTCTTTTGAACAATGTTGAAAACTTTCATGTTACAACAAACAATGCACCTGATGTGATGCACGATTTGCTTGAGGGTGTTTGTGGACTGGAGGTTCATGTTGTTCTTGGCAATCTTATCCAAGCAGGGTTTTTTGATCTTGACACTCTAAACAGCAGAATCACCAGTTTCGATTATGCACCATGCGATTCCAAGAACAAACCATCACCCATCAGTAATAATAAGATTCAACACCCAGATGGTGCAACAGGCCAGACAGCATCGCAAATGTGGTGTCTCATTCGCTATCTCCCACTTATGATTGCAGATCTAGTTCCAGAGGGTAATGAACACTTAGAGCTCATTCTTCTCCTTCTTGAGTGTATGGACTTCATCTTCTGCCCAGAAATTACTACACAGGAGACATATTTTCTAAAACAACTTATAAAAGACCATCATGATTACTTTCTGCAGATATGTCCCAATCGCAATTTGAAGCCAAAGCACCATTTCATGACACATTATCCACAACAAATACGTCTACTTGGCCCACTAATAAACTATTGGACAATGCGATTTGAGGCCAAGCATCGGTTTTTCAAAAGACTTGGCCACATTGTTTGCAATTATCGTAATATTCTAAAAACATTGGCAGAGAGGCAGCAGATGTTTTTATGCTACAACCTGATGTGTGGAAAGGAGCTTATCGACAGGGATATTGAAATTGGGCCAGGAACCTCTACCCTAGTTGCCTCTTTGGAAAAAGCAGAGTTTTTGAGCACTGCCCTTCATGTAAATCTCTTCAGTGAGGTATATGTTGCTAAATGGTGTGTAGTCAATGGAATAAAGTACTCAAGAAAGTTGTTGGTTATCACAGGAAAATCAGAAGATGGCCTGCCCATATTTCAGGAAATTATTTTCATCATTTGTGATGGAAGTCATGTCAGACTTGTTACAGCACTCTGGGAAACCATTAAATATGAGCGACATACTCATACCTACGTTGTTACAAAATCAGCTGAACCAGTTTGGTCTATAACTCTGGTGGATAATATATATGATCGACAAGCATACCATGCATCAAAGGCTTATAAAGGAGATTGGCTCAATTATGTTACCATACGCCACAGAATACATTGATAGGTTGGGCACTTATTACCAACATATTAGGGCCTGCTTATATGGTCCTGTCTAGCCAGGACGGGATGTTTTTATCCCGCTTGTCTGCTACGTACAGCTATGATATAACAAGGTTGCTACAAGCTTGACAACACAAGATTGTAAAAATATTGTTATATTATGCATATGTACTGTGCAGTCTTGTTAGGACAGCCTTGTAACAAGTTGGATGATTAAACAAGCATGTTATTTTACAACTTGCAAACAAGTTTCCCAATACTTTTCAATAGCTTGTTTGCAGTCTTGTTTCATACAACTTACAAACAGAAGTGTAAGGCCAGCTATTCCCTGGGGCTTGGTTGTATATCTATCTATAACATGTATTTGTGTACAATTCATATTTTAGTTCCTTCCTGGGACTTCTGTGACAACAGTGAGTGCTGAGACACCTGTGGCAGTGGCAGTGAGGACTGAGATGTCCAGTACAGCAAGTTCTTCCAATAGGAATTTTGTAAGCTTAGAATTTTCACAATTATGCATTAGAGAGGTTAAGATACCGCAGTTCCAGTGTACGGGTACCCTTATTTTGTGCTATGAATATCCATCAGTGTTTCTCAATTTTTTCGAAGATTATCTTGACAATTATTTTCCAGTAGACTTGAGGCAAGCATGATTTGTATCTTGAAACGTGCAAAAAACAAGATTATTTTCCAGTAGACTTGAGGCAAGCATGATTTGTATCTTGAAACGTGCAAAAAACAAGAAATTCCAATAAACAAAATATGGCTACCCGTACCTGTATACCGAAACCGGGGTTCTTAACCTCTCTATTAATTACCATAGCCTTGATGCCCAATATGCATTCCATGTAAGTTCCATGCTGGATTTGGCAGTGTCGAAATTTTAGTGTTATAATTCGATGAGAAAAAGCAAAAGAAATTCAAATTTAGTAATATTTACATACAAACACAAATTTTTAGTATGGTCCCCTCCACCATTACAACTTCTCGATCTTGTGTCAATTCACCGGCAAGACATTCATGATTCTGCCCCCGGAATTCTCCCGGTTAAACATTGAACTTTTCTGCAGATTTCAGCTATAAATTTTACATTACAGGCTTCAGATTCATCAAAACACAAAGAAATCAATGCAAAGAAATTAAAGGCTGATTTTGTATGTTCCATATTAATAATAATCACCGACTATATACTTAATGTTATATTACATATACTTAATGTTATACGTAATATTTTAGTTTGGCATTATTATAATGCTAATTAATTAACATTAATATCAACTATATTTAGAGCATCCGATCAATTCTTGAAAATTCTGCACTTGGCGAAGAAATCCTGTTTGAATTGGATAACGGGAGACTACCCAGAAAACAGAGATTGAAGATGGTTCAGGTTCTTGTAGCCGAGATGATTGAGAGATTTGGGGACAGGTTGCAATTAATTATACTCTACATATACTGTACAACGTATTACATAATCAAAATCAAAAATACAATTTTTTGACATTAAAAGATGGCATACAGTATCTTTTGTTCATTCATAGAATTTAGAGTTCTTAAATATAGCCATTCTTTGATTATTTCAACAGGCCACGAGCAGATGTAAAAGTGTCCATGGCCAGAGCTGTAGTTGAGGAATTCCCCTTTCTTAAGGATGAAGAAGGCCAAGGATTTGTAAGCTTTAATGACAACCATAACATTGAACAACTTTTTTTTCCAATTTAATTCGCCCAAGACATTAAAATTACACAAATATAAAGAAATAAATATCGCAAGTCAACATGAATGTTGCCCATCAATATACATAATTCAAATGTTTTGCAGGAAGCTTGGTACACTCCTGGGATGGGCATTCATTCAGCTACAGGGTGGCTTGAAGAGAAATTGAGAAATGTCAGAAGACGCTCAACAGAGGGGAAAAAAGTTGGTGTGTCAACTAGTGCGCCAAGCTCTAAGCTTGTTAAAGTTGGTGCATTACCAGGTAAAAAGGCCATTGCATCCCATACTTTGTACAGTGAGCGTAATTCCCACCAGCGCAGTGACCGAATGACAGCAATTCAAAATATAAATGGTACAGCACAATGAACGTAACGTAATCTGTTTTCCCTATCTCAGAATGCATAATAAGTGATGATGAATACATGGGAATGGTAGAATGGTTAAAGCATCACATCGAACCACTCAGCAAAGTAAAGCAATACATGAAGAAAACATCAATCAGTCGTGCTGCATGGATTAAGGAAAACCCTCAACTATCAGTCTGTGATATACTGAAAGAACATCCAAGGTTGTTCGACATACCTGGTATGGTGAGTATTGTACACAGGAAAATTTAACAGGAAATTCCTATCCTAGGATGTGAACATGAAGATATTCTTTCTTCATCTATGGAGTGGCATTGCCTGGAAGGACTGTCATCACAATAAAATGGAGATAGGATGGCATAATTATACCACACCATTTAACTGTTTGTTTATTTACCTATCTAGATTGAAATAGACTTTGAAGAAATATTTGGTGAAGTTGCAGATAATCTTTTCCTAAAATGGACACCATCTTTTGCTGAAAAAGTTATTGCCTATGCTAACAGCCAAGCAAATTGGCACAGTTACCTCCATGTTGACATGCAGAAAGTCAACACTGGTAAGCTGCTGTAAAGCATGTTTTGTCTTTTCTGTCACACAGAACATTTACTGCAATTAGCAAGCAGTTTGTTCTACAATGATGAAAATAATTAATACTTTTTCTTCTAGATGAGGAAAAACAAAATGTTGCAATTGTGCTCTTACCAGCAATATTTCCTACTGGACGCAAAGGGAAAAAGAAAAGCACCATTGATGATGCTATCAAGGTTTTTGTTGATGTTCAACCAGTAAGGATGATTTTGTATCTATGAATATTTATTCTTATTTATTTTGAAGCTAATCCATGAATTTAATGGAGTACATTATACCTACACTATTTAGGCCACTCTCTATATTGGGGAATTAACATCTACATCTGCCTTAAATTAAGCATTTAGTACTCGCATACATAAATTAGTGTATAATTATCCAACTTATATTATAAATGTCAACATGATGAGTAAAATTCTCAATCTGCAGAAACCAAACTGTAGACTCAGAGGTACTGAAAACTAGTCTGATGACTGCTCTTTAACTGCTTTGATTTAATTTGGAATTTTCCCCAATATAAATAGATTGGTACCAACATGCCAAAATATCTTGAGGAAAACTCCACTGATGAGCCACAGGTTCTGGTTCATGGAAGTGTCACCAGTCCTCAACAAGTGTTTGTTGTTAGCAAAGGCAGAGCATTGGAGAGGTCAAATTTGTTGACTGCTATCGACACCTGTTTCAAGATGTTTTATATTATGGATATCGAATACCCCTGGCAATGTGGCATCACATGGGAATTTTTCCAAAAAGTAATTTTTGGTTTGGAGGACAGGTGCAAACATAAAAAAACTGCTCCGTCTGTTATCTCCATACGGGCTGCATTAAAGGCTTGATTGTTTATTGTGTCTTTCATACTTGTCATTGCTTCTATCTGTTATTGCTTCTATATATATATTTATATATACTGTACCATTGTTAATAAAATGCTTTTGTGATTTTGCAATACATTTGTACACTTGATTTTTATATTCACTATTTTATATGCGATGTTCAAAAAAATCAAACAGATATATTGTAAATAACAACACATTCCTGGTTAATGTTAACCAGGAACTGTAGTTAATATTCATCTACCAGGCTTTCCTGGTAGATTTTGTTGAGTTGTATATTGACACTTTACCTGGTTAATACTTAACCACATTTTAGGTTGAATTTAACCAGGAACTGTTGTTAATATTCTTTAACCAGGACTTCCTGGTTGATTTAACCAGACTTGGTTAGGTGGTATACTGACACTTTACCTGGTTAATATTTAACCCCATTTTGGTAAAATTTAACCAGGATGTTTTTAGAGTGTACGTACGCTGAATTTAAGAGAGGCAAATTAATATTTACCATTTCACATTTCAAAATATGGCACAAACTGTACTGAACTAAACTTGAATTTGACTTCCACTGACATGTTTAGGGTCATTCTTATTTTGATATTTGGCAGATACTAGTCGTTGCTCATTTAATGCAAATGTTGTCAATTTTCACACCAGTTGAGCAGCTTATACTCAATGTCTTTGTGTGGGACTTTGTATGTCTTTGTGTCAATATCTTTTTTTTTTAACTTTCCAATCCATTCTAATGCTAGGATAACTTTTACAGTTATCTTACTTAACTTAGACACCAGCCTTAAGTTGACAACATTTGACGTAGACATGCCATGCACGTGGACACTGGTGCGGGACTGCCCGTGCCACAAATCTTAATAAGTAGTTGTATTAGACGGTTTCCATTACTGCGTTAGCTGAATACACTACATAATGCTTTGTGAGTATTATATAATTATAACTACTCTTGAATCATTCTTGTGGTGGTGTTCACAGTATGTAGTGGGGGTCTACTTATTTATGGATATTATATATTTGTGTGTGTATTTTTGAACGTATTTCGTACGTACGGGGGTTGCACCTTGCATGGGACTTCGCTTCCCGTTTGTGCATACTCCTTTTAAGTCAGAAACTTACTCGTTATGCATAATATTAATTATATATGTAATGTACTCAATAAATATTAAAAGCAAGCGAGAAGTTGAAAAACACAGAACAGTATCATGCAAAATGGGATAACCTCTTTTCCCTGATTGTGAAACAGGTCTATTTATAAAATAAATGTTCTGCATGCAGATGGTAAAATTTCAAGATCAAGACATTTATCCATCTATATCATGATGCTTTGTATACAATTGTATAAGAACAGTCAGAATATTAAACATTACCTTAATTCATTATATTTATAAATGAATATTAGCTGGAATTTACGTCCAGAAAGGTAAGAAACATGCTAAATTTTAGCAATTTTAAATCAAAAAGGCTGGCCATTGTTACGAGCAGATCTATATAAAGCAGAAGCAACTGCACCACTCTTTTATAAAAATTACAAATAGCTAGCACTTGTCCTTTGTACTAATCTAAAATATTGCAGGCTTTTAAATATACATACTCCTGCATCTGTGAATGACAGCACTTGGAAATTTAAACATGCAATGTTTCCATATCATGTAATGGAAGAAATTGCTATACCGTTGTAAGAAACATGAAATAATAAACTCACCAGGTTGTAGTACTGGGTTCAACTTATCGTCAGTCAAACCCATTGTTCTGCAGTAACATTGCAACATTGCCCCACAAGATGGGAGCCATTTTAAGGAATGCAATGTTGAATGTGCAATATACTTTAAAATCCATCAGGTGCAATTTGGAAAATATTCTGAGCATTGTGGATATAAATTGGAATGTTGCAATTGTTTATGGGCTAATTTAGTTAAAATCGGTCCAAACATGGTATCTGACACCAGTGGGCACCACTATAGCAGGACCATGTGTCAGAAATATTCAAATAATATATATTGTTATATAGGTGCTGTGTACTTTAAATGTGATTGGTTCATTCCTAGTAATTCGGAAAACAGTGAGTTTTGTTTTCCCTTGAGTCTCAATGTTTCAGACTTTTGGGAAAAATGTTTCAAACATTCAGACTCTTGGGAAAACAATACTCACTATTTCCCTCGGGAGCATACATTAAGTGTATAATATCGCTATTGTCATCTTCATACCTTGAAATACTTCAACACAACTTGAATATGACTCTTTGGCTTCTTTCTCTGACATAAATGGCCTTGCCATAAAGCATTGAAGATAAAGACGGTGTGATTTCTGCATTTTGCACCTGAAATTTTTTATTTAGACCAATTTTAAAGTTCTCATATGCTGTGTGTTTACAGCATATGTTTTCAGTGACAATTTTCCCGCGAACTTCTGAACGGCGTTGAATTTCACTTTGAAATGTGCTCCACCCGATCGCGGGCAAGCAGTAAGCCAGTGAACTCTATATACAAACTGGAAAGCTAAGTAGTGATCAGTGATAAACTGCCTAGTGCAGTAGTGCCCAGGGGTGGCGCCAGAAGGAGGGCAAGGGGGGCTACAGCCCCCTCGTCGGGGAGCTTTAGCCCCCCTGTCGGGGAAAAATTTACAATTCGTCGTGGAATGAACGGGAGATATATGAGTTGCCCTCTATTGTTTTTAGTTCTCTCATATCAAACAGATAAACTTCTTCAAAATTTAACTTAGTATTTTATATTGTACATGGTTGGTAGCATAAAAATTTTCATGAAAAAGTCCGTGATAAGACTCTGAAATGCAAATTTCCAAATATCTAGAGCAATCAAACTTCAAAAATTTCCACCCTCGGCGCCAACCAAGCTGGCGCCTCGTGAGCATAGGCTCCAAATCTAAGGCATGGGACTGTAGCAATAAACCGAAAGCTGGGCTTCCTACAATTACACGTTAAATAACCAGGAGTTCAGCCTCAGCCCCCCTGTCGGGGACCTTAGCCCCTGTGCCGGGGAATTCCTTGCGCCACCCCTGGTAGTGCCTACCCATTTATTCCCATATTCCCAGTTTTCATTGTATACATTAAAGTTCGCTGGCCTATCCAGATGATTCCAGTGAACTGATCTGGACGTTCGTTTTAAGATAATTGTTATATAACTATAGTCCCAAATTTCTACACTTAATAGAAACAGTAGCGTAGCCAGCCTGACGATTTTGTCCCGCATGTAAATTTCGAGTTATTATAATTACTCCGGCTACCGTAGGTACGCCGGAGTCTTAAAACACCAGCGGCCGGAAGTTTTGGGCGTCACAAATGCGACCTACGTTCATGGAGTTAACCGCTTTTTTCCCCGAACGGTTCACGGGCTCACGTCAAAATGGCTGTGGATTATAAAGGATTTTTAATTTTGGGTTTTCCATCAAATACTGCGACTGTTTTCCTTGGCATTAGCACTCGTAGTGCGTCGGGTTTTACTCGTAGGATTTTGGCACAATCAGTCGTTAGATCATTGGTGAATATTGTAGCTTCGCAGGTTTGCATCATATACAGTAACTTCGATTTTAATATACTGTATACAGGCTGTGCCTGTTTATTAACTTGATATTTTGTGGAAGATAAACGAATTTAACAAGCTTTAACAATGTGTGGAAATTTTACATTGGAACTCTAGGGCATTAAAACTCTACAGATGTCACGTATCATTGTTGTCTCCGTTTTATAGCTCATCTATTAAAATAATATTGGTAGCAACAGCTAAATTTTGCCCTCAAGAAAGAGCAATATTGCTCTCAGGCATCATAAACCCCTGCCCGGTCTCGTTATTTTGACGGACGCATGTATATGGTACGCCACCTGTGCCGTAGCCGGAGTGTACGCCTGCCCAGGCGTCTTGTTACTCTTGTCTTTAGAAATTCATTGTTTTCACAATCAACGAACTCCGAAATGGTTTTTCATTAGTTTCGCTTTTGCGAGCGTGCTTGCTGGTTTACACGCGTGGCGCGCGCGAATGCTGCGTGACCATGCGTGCCTCATTAGCTTCCCGCGTGAGGAAACATGGCGGACAAAAAGCCAAAAAATGTTCCAAGTCCGGCTGCATTTACTCCACCAAAATGGTAGTAGTTTACTCTCTTTTTTTTAATATTTCGTCTCTAATTTTGTATTAACTCGTATGATTCGTTACAGGGCGGGAAAACCTTCGGCTGGATTACATTTGGACGTAACGAAGAATGGTAGCGTTGTTGAGGTGCAGTATTGATCAGCTTGATAAATGATAACTGACCTAATTGACAGTATAAATGCCTCAGTATATGTTATTTTGTTGTTCCGTCGTTAAAAATCGGTAATATGATCAACTTGACAGCAATTTAATCCACACAGCATATTCTTCTATACTTAGCTATAAACTGTAGTGTACAGTTAAGAGGTATTCAGTGATGTACTGGGGTCTGGGGTATTGAGTCCACTGACTATATACCATAAGTGCCTTAATATATGCATCTAGGTTTTAATGATTTCAGTTTTACTCATTTAATTAAGGTACTTTTATGCAGTAACATGAACACACTGTCATCTTAGGGTTGGACCCCATTATGCCAAGCGAGTACTTTACATTTTACCCAAGTAATTGCATGCAATAGTAGTCGCTAAATGGTTAATGTAAATGCCCAATGGTTCATGGCTGCGATTAGGGTTTTTAGGGTTAAATCGTTTAGGGTTAAATCATTAAATTGGGGCGATAGATTACTTGGGTATGGTAATTAAGGTGTAAAATTTCCTGCCAAGATATTTAAGAACTTTTTCTTCTTGTTTGTGAGTCCCCAAAATTTCCACCAAAATTGTTGGCAAAAGGGCATGATTTTTGAGGCCCTCTACTCCAGCCATAGAAACTTGCAACATTTTTGCTTGAATGTTGCAACTATATTCCAGGAGGTCTAATGGTGTTCTGGTTTTACAGCAGTGTGTGCTCAATATGTTTTTGTTTCTTATTTAGAAGCTGATTATTGATCAAAAACCTTTCTATCTGTTTGGAAGAAATAAAGATTCCTGTGATTTTCCATTGGATCACACCTCATGTTCAAGGGTTCATTCTGCTTTAGTCTTTCATAAACATTTAAACAGACCATTCCTTATTGATCTAAAAAGCAGTAAGTACAATGTTTTGATTTGAAGAAGTTAAATAAGTTCTGTCTGTACCCTGAGACAAACTGACATCCCAGCTTGGCTGTAACATATTGTACATAGATAATTCTGAGTGTAATATATCTTATTGTCTGAATAACTGGACTGGCACCAATCAGAAGTTTGTGAAGAAATTTGAACTAATTATGACTTTAATCTCCAAACATCATAAAATAGGAATATTAATATTAGTTATGTACCTTGGTGTGGATACATATTTTAACTAGTGCTAAATATTTTCGTTCGAAATGATAAAAATGAACGCAAATAGTAATGCAAACTGTATTCAGGAAAATGTTTTAAAATGGCAAAGAATTTTAAACCAAGCAATCATTGCATGACAGAAATTATTGCATGACAACAATTTTTGACAACAATTGGATTGTTTATGGTCTGCCATATTACACACCTGCATAGCAATAAGAGGGTGGATGAACATGCAACCCTACCACACTTTACTTCCTAACCAAATTTCTTATTCTTGGAAAATGCAGAAAATTGTGGAAAAGAGGGTATATGCAATGAAATTTTGTGCGCAGTAAGCCATCATTTCAGTGATAATCTTTTGATAATTTGCAAGAAAAGCTTAATTCTGATTTAATTCCCCACCTTTATACCCCTTCGCTCATTTCCAGCTGTGATGGCATAGCAATATGACCGTGGGTGAGGATGCAACCCCCCCCCACTTTTCTTCATTACCATATTTCTTACACTTCAAAGACCTGAAAGATAAAGGGCAAGGTGGTGTATGCAATGAAATGTTTTGCTATCAGCTATCATTCCCTAACCTCATTCACTCCTCTCACTTGTTTTGTGCTTGCAAACCTCTGTCACCCACCTATGCATCTGGCACATATTCATTTCATGTTTTTTTTCACTACACGTTTTAGCTCATGGAACATTCATTGGTCATATTCGTCTTGAAAGTGATAAGCCAACTCAACTTCCTGTTGAAAGTGTCATTCACTTTGGCGCATCAACACGGACGTACACGTTACGAGAAAAACCTACATTACCAAGCGCTATGCAAGCGACAATGCATGGTAATAGCGAACAAAATGTGGATAAAGAGGATAATGAGGATAATGAAGGTTCAACTGGGGGATTTTTAGGATTGCCGGAGTCCGATACAGATCTTAAGGTGAGTTCCGTTTTAACATTTCAACTTAAATTAGAGCTATAAAGATACAGAAACTATAGGAAGGGGCCGGTTGTACAAAATTCGGAACCACATTTCGGGCAGTTGAATGGTAGTTAACTCCCGAATTCACGATTCTGATTGGCCATTTCTGTTTTGGACTCCCAGCTTACAGCCAGTTACACTGAACAATCACTATCATCATTTAGTATTCCACTTCTGTGTTTATTTGAACAAAATCTAAACATCGATAGTGGTTTAGAACAACAAGGTAAAGATACGAAAGAGTTCAGTTAATTTTTTCAGAACGCTTACGTTTAGAATTTTCTTTGAGAGTTGTAAATTACTGGAAAATGTTTTCAAAATGTATGTATAAGAAAACTTCCGTGAAGTGCACTAAAGTTTCGTATGTAGTTGCCAAATTTACATATCTGAAAATTTGAATCGGATTGCAAGTTGCATGAAAAATTGCAGCGTTCAACACGACCTTAAAGGTTGTTTACCACTTCGATCTTAACGTATCGTATTTATTGCCTTCCTGGGCACTCGGCTAAAACTAGTGACTTAAAACAATAGGTTACATTACGGTTCCGTTTGAATAAAGACAGCACACAACCAATTTCTACCATCAGCGTACTCTGCGAAAGCTTGACGTTAGGAGTTTCATTACGCTACTGTGAAATGTTTTGAAGCGAATTTAGTTTTGGTAAGAATAAATTCCCCAAAAGTTTCAATTATTTTGAATAACCGCACAGGCTCATATTCTGCCTATTATGACAGGTTCGTGTTGCATATTGTCAATGTCGTATTTTACTGTTTTGTTTCCAAGAAGAATGAAAAAATATTGAATCCAGCATCGTGTGAACGCAATGCTGAAACGAAATAATATTTATGCTGTATCGTGCGAACATTTGAAACCGTGATTATTTTCTATCGGCAACTGAGTTTTATACCGGCCTCGTGTGAACCTGGTCGGCTGGTCCTAATAATGATATTTGTTCTACACTCGTTCTCCCAAACCACCATCATGCAAGCTTTGACCTATTGAAATTATTAATTAACTCAAATTCGAATCTCCTCGTTTCACGAGAACGACACAAGACTGCAATCACAGCTTTAATACTACTTGAACCGGGGGCTGCTGTAATTACCACTCAGTTTAAGATAACTATTGTAAGGTACCATGAAGTTTCACTCAATGCCCTGTTACAATTTTTTTTACAACTTGCAATGCAATTATACTTTTGAGAGATGTAGATTACTGATGAATCCTCAAAATGTAAGTCTAAGAAACTTCGGTGGAGTGTAATTTACGCGGAAGTTTCGTTGTTGCCAAGTTTACACATCTCAAAAGTAGAATTGTATCGTGTAACAGGGCCTTTACAGGCGTTGAAACACGATAGAGGTATAATTTAAAACTTATTTCTCACCAGGATTTGACAGATTTTAACACGGCGCATAATAAAAGACTATCGTCTATTGCAATTGAAGAATCCGGAACTGCGCTGCCGAAATTAAAAAGACGACGCGTTTCCACTGGTATATCATTTAAGGATGGTTATGAAATCATAAATCCAGGTAGGAATACATCATTCCGTATTACCCTAAATTCAATACTAAAATCAGTACTGCTATAGAAATAGCATCACAAATTTATATAGATTTGGAAGTTTTGTTCCGAAGCATTGAAGTACCAAAATCTTCGCCGTGTTATTTATTACAACTTTCCAAAGTGAGACGAAATTTGCCAGCGTATATATATTTCACATTTTCAGTAATTTGCACTCAAACTTTCCAATTTTACTAGTTTGAGGATGCTCTACCCTGATGTATAGCCACAACCCAGTGCTGTTGTTAGTTCAGCATTTAGTTGATAACACTGAGTTATTTCTGTTAAGAATATTTTCTGTTTCTCTATTGCTTGTGAGTTGTGGTCTTACAACCTCGCAAGCCAGGGCAGTTGGCCGGGCGTAGGTAGAAAAGTCTGCACAAAATGGTTTCCTGACGAAGTTCACTAATTTCGTATACTGTATATCGCGGGAAAAAATAACGACCTTTAGCTCGAAAGTACAGGGTGTCCCAAAACAGAATAAAGGATTACTAAACGGTTTTCTACGCTTTCCGAAAGTCTCGCAACATCCCGAGTGCATGGATGACGCAATCCTGCGTGAAAAATTTTTGACCAATCAAATTGCGTGTTTCACTGTAGTTATTTTATAATTCGCTTTAATACTTTATGTATTTTAATTTACTCTGTAATCAGATTGATTCAATATTGACACTAGTTTAATAAGCTTGACATTTTTGTGTCTCTGGTACACTATTTCATATATTTTGTACTGTAACAGTGTAAGTGAAAGCAAAACCAACCAAAGATGTAAGAAGCTTTTCTAATAACTATATATTGTATGCGGGTTCCGTTTTTTTTTTGAACACCCCAATTCCGGCCATTACGAACCTTACAGATACGACTGTATTTTCCCACTTACTTAGCTAACAATTTAATCGCTGTGATGTTAGATCGCGTATTTCCTAAATCTTCGCACTCGTTCGGACAAGTCGTCGTGTATAGAGTGTACTTTAATACTTCAAAGCCCAGTTTATAATTACTAAACTCAATTTACTTGCTCGCCTCTCCTAAAATAGGTACCCATACGAATCTCATCCGTGCTTGCGGCCTTCTTACTTACACTGATAAAATTAGGTACATACAAGTTCATGCAGGAAAAGAGGTTTTAGTAAACAGATCGTCGGTGAATTCCACAGCTACCTGGTGATCTGCTTATACTAAAACCTCTTTTCCTGCATGAAGCTTTGTCAAAATAATCCATTTTAGGGCGCCATAAGAATAGCAACGCTATCGTACAATACTTAAGGCTGCTTTCCACTTACGTATAAAAATATACGCACGTGCACGTACGCAAAATTTTAAATGCTTTTAACTTTTTATTTTTTAACATCTATAGGTCAACGTATGCATACTAAAATACGCAGAAAACTAAGTTCCTTCGATTTATTCACTCAGTGTTTTCTTTTACGTGCGTATGGACTTTTACGTGCGTATACGTCCGTATGAAAAACGCGTAAGTGGAAAACAGCCTTTACTCATATATCCGTTGGCTCGCACGAGGTAGCTACAGTATCTAGGTTTGAAAGCGCTTCGTCGAACTGGCCGCGTCGTAAATTGTAAACACCCTGAATGCCGTTACTAGGTAGTGCGGTAAGGTATATAATAACTACTAACCTACTAAAACTACAGAAACGAGCTGCAAGACTAATTCTTGAATTACCAACCGAAGTACCCTCAATATTACTTTTCCGCCAACTTAATTGGATACCTATTTTCAACTTGATAAAATTGAGAAAAATTCTTATGGTTTTCAATACTTTAAAAACTTCTTGGCCACCAGATCTTCGAAGGTTGTTTGTTTACGTTCGCGACTCTCATCCAATTCAAACTAGATCGACAACGACTGACTTAAAGATCCCTTTAGTCAAGACGGAGCAGGCTAAATCTAAGATATCTTATAGTGGTGCAAGTCTATTCAATTCTTTACCTTCTGAGTTAAAAATCGTTGAAAATTATTCACCTAACTGTTTTAAAAAAAAGCTTAAAACCTTTTTTCTTCAATTAAACAATGAAGTTGACCATGTTAATGAATTTAGCTGCACTGTATGCAAGCATATCATTCGTTGCCAATGTTTCTCGCGATGAAACCTTTCATATTACCTTTCGAGGGCCATTGGGAAGAATACCTTAAGGTAACAATGTGAACCCCTCATGAAATAAAGTTTTAATAATAAATAATAATAATAATAATAATATAACATATTTGAATTTGTTTTGCAGAAGACGTTGATCCATCAGTTGGTAAATTTCGTAATATGATTCAAACAAGTATTGTGCAGGTTAAGGTATGATGTAATTAAACCGAGTAGCAGTACACTGTATCATGCATGACAGCAGAATCCTTTGTTGCTCCAGGTTACTTCTAGAAATTTAGTTTAATCACTTTTATTAACTACGCGAAAATCGGGCCTATATTTTAGCCGGGCAGCGTCAGCCAGCTATCAAGAGGGTTGTAATCCATTTTGATGTATATTATCGATTATCATATATTTTATTTTTTATGAAACTAGTCGAAATTTTGTTATCATGTTTAGTTACAAGAACTATGGTATAAACTGAAATAAAGTTAATATTAAAGCCCCGCGTTAACACTACACTTGATTTATTGCCACGACAAGGCTAAAACGGGTGTATTTTATCCGTGCCCGATCTTTGTTTTGGTAGCCTGAGCACTAATGCTTCTCTCGATGGATCGTGGAGATTTGGGTATGGGTATTTACAATATTTTAGCCGCACTGCGCCAATAAATTGAATGTAGTGTAAACAGGGCTTAAGTTGTTTCAACCTATAATTTTATCAATTATTACGCATGTTTTGCTTCGAAAGTTGATATTCAGATTTTCCGCCATATTTTTCATAATACGGCGCGTGCGTAAATGTGCTTCCGCGGTGTTTTTTGTACTAAACTTCAATTCGCGTCAAAAAACAGCGATGTTTCAACTCGAGATGCCCTTGTCTGTAACAACCGTACTCGTAACGTCTTTCCACTCTTTTATTATCCAGGAACCAAGGCATGCATCAAAAATTGGCAGTATGACAGAAAGTATCACAAAGAGAATGAACAGTTTCGCTTATCAGGAAGAATTATACACAGACCTTCCAGCTCTTGACGGCCATGAACATGATACCGCGTTACATTCAGTACAGAGTGGAAGTAGAGTAACTGCTGCGCCGGACGTTGAGGGACCCGAGTATACTGATGTGGATAGAACTGTACATGAAAACACGTTTGCACCGTCTATGCCGCAAGAGGCGCCGAAGAAGAAATACGCAAAGGAGGCATGGCCTGGCAAAAAACACGGCTCGTCGCTTTTGATGTGAAATGTACCCTAAAATTATCGCTGGCAAATCGATATTTGCGCATTTGCAGGGATAGTCTCATAAATGCGTGCAATTCCTAAATCCATACCAAGCCAATGTGCTCCGTCTACCAACCTTTGTATATTAAAACTTTCCATGGTCATATTGTATAGAGCGGTACGCCACATTTTGCCGTTTACGCTGTAGTAAAGCCCTGGAAACTGTATCTTCGTTGCATCGTGGTCAATCGTCATACGCATGCGCGATAGCATTAGTCACGCACAGTGAACTCGAATAAAACTGGAATGATAACTCCAAATAATGTCCAGTCAATTGGTGAAACCGAGTTGAATATAAAATGCCCGTTAAAGCGGGAGCCGCCCGAGCAAAACAGGCTTTCAAAAGACGCAAGGAATTTACCCGTTCTAGATAGACGTTCTAAATAGGTTTGCACCATTTCACATTCATAAAACATGTTTTTTGGAAAAATCTAAGTGTCAATGTTTAATTGTTTTAAGCTTTTATTCATGCTGAGATGAGATGGGCTTCGGCGTTGTTTTGGTCTTGTAATCTCAACTCTTCGCCTTCACTGCGGCCTTCTTACAATTTGGCTTCAAAGACGGCGGCCAAGTTGTCGTTCCAGTCTTTTTAGAGTTCATTGATCACGCATGCCCTGGCGTTTGACTGCATTTTTTTAACTGGATAGCTAAATTGACGTGCAATGCCTTTCTCGTGCTTTCGGCTGCGCAGCTTGCAAAGAGTGGGTTTTTTAACTGTTATAAATACGAGATTTTATGAGGTCATTTTATTAGCTCTAGCTTATTAAGGTGGTGTTATACAAAAAAATAATTTTATTTTGAAAAGTATAAGAATCTGTTCATGCTATATTGCAAGCTAAGTTGTTTTGAGTGAAAAAAAACTTGTAAGTGACTTCAATCACTATAGTTACCCAGACCAGACACACTCAACTAGAATAAATAAATCTTTTCCAGTGTTAAACGTTTTACAGGATATAAATATAAAATTTCTACGATCTGCCTCAAAATAAACCCTCGTTATTTTACTTTGACTGAACGAAATACAACACTTTTAGGTTCACGCGTCCAAGCCGATTGCCTTTAAAGTCTACCATAAAAATTTTATCAAGATAGCTTTACTATTTTGAGTTATCTTCTCCCAAAATAAGGCGAATGAGAACCTTAGTTTATTAACAAAAGCGAAGAAAAGAGTTTTGCATATTATATTCATAAATTATAGAGAACAATTAAATAGAACAATAAAACAATAGAATAAGTCAATCGACCCCTTTGGTTTGCTCGGGGTGCAACCAAATTAATAAAAATTAATGACGTTTACCGACGTCGCGGAATTCTCGTAGTCTTGTAAATCCTGAATGGCAACACGCTACCTAATATACAGGGTGTCTAAAAAAAACGCAACTACTTGAATATGCAAGAACTAATACCGTTCTAAAGCGCAACAGATCAGCACCGGTAGGAATTGAAAATGGCTCCTAATCCTTCATTTAAAATGCTAAAAGTCATTTTAGTTGAACTATGGTGCAAACCCGAACAATATTAATATTCTTGCATATTTAAGCTAAGACACCCTTTAGTTCTATGTTGATGACAACTTTGAACAATGTGGACAACACAATAGCACTCAGTCTGGTTCAAATCAATATTGCAACTAACTGATTGTTTTCAGGCGTGAATATAATATTTTTTAAAGGTGAGTTTTATGGTATACATGTCAATGAAAATTTAAAATTAAACGAAACTTACCTGGAATTTGAAGTTTGATGATAATTCTATCAAATCTGCAGTGCTATACGAAGGGTTAACATGAGATGCACGGCTCGCGCTGCCGTGAGTCAACCTAGAGCGGGAATCCACTGAGGGCGTGCATCTTACGGTAATCCTCCGTACTAATGCAGATTTAGTAGAATTATCATCAAACTTCAAATACCAAATCACAGTGACGTACTTCCGGTTAACATGAATACAGGGTTTTCACAATGGAAGGAAATTTCCTTGCAATGGACCTTTTCCATCAGTAATAGACCAACTTTTTAATTAGGCGACAAAAAGGGAATTTCCGATTTCCGAAAAGTGCATAATAAACTTAGTAAAATTGCAAAGTTTGGCTGCAAAATATTGTAAAGTGCAAAAAATATAGCCATATGTATTTGGCAATTTTGTACACTTTTTTACTACGTACGACCGGAAGCTTGCAACTAATTTTAATTAGTAACGTGTTACTTAAAAGTAACACGCTTCCGGCCGTAGTACAAAAGTATACAAATTTGCCAACTTTGCATGGCTATATTTTCCGTACTACTTGACATTTTACGGCCAAACTTGGTAATTCTAGTAATTTAGGTATGCTCTTTTTAGCTCTGGTGATTTATTTCCTCCCTGTTACCTACATCGTAAGTCTTTCTATTCTGGAAAAAGGTCCAATAAACTCTAAAAAAACGTCTATTAGTGGTAGTGTTCCGAGTTCCATATTTTAAAGATAGCCCCTTTTGTACTTTTGTTTTTTGGAATTACGTTCACTTTGTTATTTTAGAATTAAGTTCAGTTTTAAAATTTAAATTTCAGGTTGTGATTGGCTGATTCGAATTAGCTAGCCAATCAAATCGCGTATCGAAAATGTAAGCAAGAACTTCTAAACGCTGCGTATAAATATTCTGACAAAGCATGCAGGATATTGATTACATTACGGACTGTACCAAATCTTTGAACTACATTCATTCTAACTGAAAGAGGTGGGTCACAGATATTAGAAAACTGTTTGTGACGATCTTGAGAAAGAGACAGTCATAAGGAAGGTTCTGTTTTAATAATATATACGATAAACACAGTCATCAAACCTTAAACTTTACATGAAAAGTGTCATAAACGCATTGCTACAAAGTCATATGTTGCAATGATTGTTGCAAAATTTGATATTCTTTGTATTCGTGTCAAAAATGTGAATGTGCAAGCAAACTTCTAAACGTTGAAGATAATAAATACTGCCAGATTTTCACTCCAAAAGCCTGAGAACTAGTTTCGTTTATCGCTTGGAATGCGGGGGAAATCCGTTCTCGGCAGGTCGTCTTCAACATCACAATATGAGGTTGTTTGATAACAAATACCACTGTCGACAACACCTGATTCTGTTCAAAGATTAGGTTTGCTTTGCCGAAAACGAAGATGACAAAATTTTGATCTAAATTATTCGTTTCATTCTCCAAGCTGTACGACGCTCTTTATTATGACTTAGAACATAAACCATTGAACTGATTGAAGGTGGGTAAGTAGATTATAATCACAGTAATTTGCTTCAGCACTGTAGAAATCAGAAGCGACTAGAAATTATGTTATGGTTGAGTCGCATATTTGTGCAATGCATTGCGTGTCACATTATTAAATTGCAAAACTAACTACAACATGGAAGAAATCTACATTAGTTAAGAACAGAAGTTACATGAGTTAAGAAGTGTTCATGTCAACCTCAGACTGGGGTTACCTCAAATGGGGGTATTTTGTTGAGCTAAAGTTTCACACGATTTCATTTTGGTGGAGCCAATTCACTTGTGATGTATGGAATGTAACCTGTTATTGATAAAGCAGTTCATTCGTTTTATTTTATTCCCTGCCCACAAGCACACATATACACTGCAAGTCACTGCAAGTCCGACGAAATTGGATTGTGTGAACAGGGCTTTAAAGTTCGAGCGTTGCAGGGAAATATAAATTACAATATATTTCATTTAATGCTGGGTTCTTAAAGCACAAGTAATCGCGGATTGTAGTAAAATACAAAAGAACTGGTCTCACCGTTTTTGACGTGCAAAGAAAAACGGTCCTTAAAGATCCAAACCTTGATAGAAACGAATGTAAAAAGTGAGCCCTGTAGTCAGGGACGAAAATCTATTCGTCGTGTGTCTGAAAATCTGATTTCATTCTAAGTCAATGAATGTTTTTGTTTAGATTTTTCCTCTTGACGAATAAAAATGCTGAAATACGACTGACAATTTTAGTGAGATTATTGCCGTCTTCTCACAGAGCCGTCGTTAGAAGTTTAAATAGCATGTTGATTCATAAATCTATGACTTTGTTTATAAACAGTTAAGTAAATCGCAGATCACTGATCAAAGAAATCAGTCAGGCATAGGACGAATGAAAATACACCCTCTAATTCGAATTTATTTTCAATTAAAAACTGTCTATGATTGTATTGCACTATTTATTTTTTCCCTCCCAGTGGTGCTTCTTTGCTAAACTAAGGAACTAATCTATGGTGCTTGTGCTATAAAGCCTCTATCTAAGCGAATAGTAAAATTTTGCTGAAAGTCGAACAACGACTAATCCCAACGAAACTCAATAGGTTTAACCACTGCTGATGTTGTTCACCTTTGAAACTATAGAACAATGAAATTCCTAACCGCTCAAGGTCCCTCGAAATGAAATTGTCTCATTTTTACATTCTCAACGTTTATAATAGAAATTTCAATGGAGAACGAAGCAAGTGGAAGTACAAGTGTCCGCAAATATGGTTCGAAACATCTTCGAGACGATGGAATAACTTCTCAGGGTCCAATGCAGTCTACATCATTAGCAATTGTGAAGTTTTTGGTTCAATATTGTGGTGCTGACTTAAGTTGTAAAGATGAGTCGGACAAAACTGCTTTACATCATGCTGTTGATGTTGGTGAAACAGACATTGTCAAATATTTTGTTGAACAATGTGGCGTTGACGTAAATGACAAGGATGAAAAAGGGTGGACAGTTCTGCACCATGCTGTCACTAAAGGTACGCCAGAAATTGTAAAATATCTTGTTGAACATGGCGCTCATGTAAATGACAATAATAAAAAAGAGTGGACAGTTCTGCACCATGCTGTCACTAAAGGTACGCCAGAAATTGTAAAATATCTTGTTGAACATGGCGCTGATGTAAATGACAAGGATAAAAAAGGGTGGACAGTTCTGCACCATGCTGTTATCAAAGGTACGGTAGAATTTCCAAAATATCTTGTTGAACATGACGCTAACGTAAATGGCAAGGATATTAGTGGGTGTACAGTGTTGCACTATGCTGTTATTAAAGGTACGGTAGAAATTGTAAAATATCTTGTTGAACATGGTGCTGATGTAAATGGCAAGGATATTAGCGAGTGTACAGTGTTGCACTATGCTGTTAGGTTTAATAGATTAGAGATTGTCAAGTATTTAGTTGAAAAGGGTGCTGACGTGACTCTTCACTAACAATCTTGGCATTAACATCCTCAAGATGGCTGTTGTGAAAAATTCAGTTGCTTTGATCAATCTTCTGTTGGAAAAGAACATCGCTGTGTGGAGAGCTGGATCATTTCTTGTTGAGGGAAGACATATAAGTCTTCTTGAATTGAGTATTCAGCTTGGTCATGATGAAATTACAACTATCCTCAAAAGGTCCATAAATCATTGTGAGAAGATTCAGATGTTGAAAGAAATGAATTGCAACCAGTTAAAAGAGGTAATGTTTCAAACATACACGAGTTTTTTTTAAAACAGAGCCGTACAAGTTATACTTGATAATTCCAAATATGTCTATCTGCAGGGGCGTAGGAACCGGGGGGGTTAGCGTCAGGGGCACGTGCGACACCAAAATTTTTCAAGGGCCAAAAAGTGCCCTTTTTATTAACAAAACCTGGAAGCTGGTGCCCCCCCCCCAATCTTTGGATGCTTCGTACGCCCCCGTCTATCTGCTAAAATATCATGCATGGCGGACTTTCTGTGAAGCTATCTCGGAATAGGGTTTCCATGGTAACGACTTCGTATGAAAAATGCCTTAGTAACTGAGCTTTGACTATTTGCCTTCACTGATAACAATGCTCAAATCGTTTTCGCTCCTAACTTTCACAATAGATAATTTGTACTTTTTCGTCCATAGACAGAAACACCGATGCAGGCTTTTGTCGCAAAGAATCGATTCAAAATTGGTGCTGGTGGTTTTTCTTGTGTCTTTGTTGGTCTCATGAAGGATGGAAGTGAAGTTGCTGTTAAGAGAATTTTGGTACAAAGTGAGGATGAAACAGTTGAAAACGAAAAGGAAATCATGAGTCTCATTGAAACAAACTCTCCATTTATAGTTAAATATCGACATTTTCACCGTGACGATACCTTCTTGTATCTTATTGTTGATCTTTGCGAAGAAACCTTGAGGGAACTTGTTCATGCATGCAGTATTCGACATCTAAAAGAGCAAGGTCCACGAATGATTAGGGAAATTCTATCAGGTCTAGAATTTCTTCATGGCAAAGGAATATTGCACAGAGATCTAAAACCATCAAACGTTCTGGTTGATATCGAAGGTTGCATGAAATTGGCAGATTTTGGAATAAGTCGCGTTGTTAATGAAGATGAAACGACAGTTGAAACAGTTGCAAAAGGTACTCGTGGATGGATGCCACCGGAAGTAATTGAAGCAATAGTTAAAAAAGAAAAAAGTCGTTTTAAAAGGAAATCAGATGTCCAGGTCGCGGGTATGATTGCTTTCTTCATCTTAACTAAAGGTGAACACCCTTTTGGATCTGAATTAGACCGAATGAAAAATATTTTGGAGAATAATCCTGTCAATTTGGAGAAACTTGGTGATCGCCCAGCTCGTAGGTTTGTGTCGTGGTTGATTAATCACAAGATTGATGATAGACCTTACGCTCACGAAACACTGAGAGATATCTTTTTTGCAACTCCGCAAGGAACATAGCGAGCAATTAGACAACAGCCTCGACGTTTGTTTGAAATGACGAATCCTTCCCATTGGGCATTGCATATTTTTTACACTTGAAATATCCTTGTTATAAAGTGCTTAACACAACGTGTTGTTTGTTTAGGTAGAATATAAACATTACTACAGTCCTCAATATATTGTACACTTTTTCAAAAAAATTATTCATAACTGAGGGGCTGTGCACATGAGCCAGGTTATAGAGATGAATTTAAAAAAGGTGTTTGGATTATCGAGAACTAGCCATTTCCAGCTGATCTGAGATCATGACGTCATAAAGCGTCTCGACAAAACTGAGTTATCATACGCCTGGTGTTATTTGTCCCTATTCTATTAACTAATAGTATAAAGGGTGAAAAATTTAAATTCTAATTTACAGTTGAGAAAAATGTTTCAGAAACTGATCATTGATGAAAAACCTTTGTATCTGTTTGGACGAAATAAATATTCCTGTGATTTTCCACTGGATCACACCTCATGTTCAAGAGTTCATTATGCTTTAGTCCTTCATAAACATTCAAACAGACCATTCCTTATTTATCTAAAAAGCAGTAAGTACAATGTTTTGATTTGAAGTTAAACTTAAATAAGTTTACCAGGCTCTGTCTGTACCCTGAGACAAACTGACATCCCAGCTATACTGTAACATATTGTACATGAATAATTCTGAGTGTAATTAAATATATGTTATTGTCTGAAAAACTGGACTAGCACCAGTAAGAATTTTTTGTGAAGAAATTTGACCCAAATGACTTTACTCTCCAAACATCATAAAGTAGGATTATAAATATTAGTTAGGTATCTTGATGTGGATGCATTTTTCAAAACTAGTGCTAAATATTTCCACCCAAAATCATGAAAATGAATGCAAATAGTAATGCAAACTGTATTCCGGAAAATGCTTTAAAATGGCAAAGAATTTTAAACCATTTTTAAACCATTGTATGACAGAAATTTTTGTATGACAACAATTTTCGACGAAAATTGGATTGTGTCTGGTCTGCCCTATCACACACTTGCATAGCAATCAGAGGGTGGGTGCAATCCTACCGCACTTTACTTCCTGGTTAAATTTCTCATTCTTGGAAAACTCGGAAAATTGCATGATAGAGGGTGTATACAATGAAATTTTGCAGTAAGCAATCACTTCACACCTTTATACCACCCCCACTCTTTTTCAGCTGTGATGGCATAGTAATAGGAGGGTGGGTGAGGATGTACCCCCCCACTTTTCTTCAAGATCATATTTCTTACACTTCAAAGACCTGAAAGATAAAGGGCAACGGGGTGTATCCGAAGAACTGTTTTTCTTTCAGCCATCATTCCCCAGCTTCACCCTACCCCCCCCCCTCACTTGTTTGTTGGGAAAAACCAACATTACCAAGCGCTATGCAAGCGACAATGCATGGTAATAGTGAAGAAAATGTGGATAAAGAGGATTATGAGGATAATGAAGGTTCAACGGGGGGATTTTTGGGATTGCCGGAGTCCGATACAGATCTTATAGTGAGCTCCGTTTTTTTTACGATTTTCTTTGATCAAAATGTATATATATATTAATAAATTTCCGTGAAGTGCACAAAACTTTCGTAGTTGCCAAATTTACATCTCTGAAAAGTTGAATCGGATCGCAAGTTTCATGATTGCAAAATTGCAGCGTTCAACGCGACCTTAAGGGCCGTTTAATACCACTTCGATCTTAACCTATCGTATCTATTTCCTTCCTGGGCACTCGGCTTGAACTAGTGACCTTAAAACAATCGGTTATATTACGGTACAGTTTGAAGTGGAGAACAGCTTTAAGAGTTTGTAAGGGAATGCAAACCGTAACAGTGAACCCATAACCAATTTCTACAATCAGAGTACTCTGTGAAAGTTCCGATATAACCAGGGAGCAGCGTGGCATTGTCTTCAAACAACTTAGCATCAAAAGTGGTATAACAACTGCCTAAAATAGACAAAACACTTCTTGACATTTCGACCTGAGGGCCTTCTTCAGGAGAGTTAGTATGACTAACTGTTTACAACTATATATTCAATGCATAATATTCAAGTTAACTCATTCCAGAGAGATGTAAGAATGTTATTTAATTTTGACTTATCCACCGTTTAAGCTAAACGGGTTTGATACAACCGGCCCCAGTACCACTCAGTTTAAGATAGCTATTGTAAGGAACGATGAAGTTTCACTCAGTGCCCTGTCACACAATAGGCAGCCCGGTCACTGCTGTTACGTCATGCCATTATATATAATTACAATAAGGCTGGCAACTCTCTCGCAAAAAATTAATTAGATACATAATACCATCGCTTAAAACAAAAATACTACGCTAGGTTCTTAAAAAAAAAACAGATACAAACACCTTGGATATATTGACTATATTTATCTGTCATTTTTAGACTTGAAAAAAAAACTCAAAAATGCTCAAATTTGGCGAATTAAAAGTGTGTTTTCGTTGAAATTTTGCGAAACAGAGGCGGGATGCAATTTACTTGACAAACGTCATCATCGGAGAATTCGTCGGCAAAATTCTGATTGGCTGCGGCAAGTTCGGAAAATAACGAAGATCTTTTTTCTTCATTAAGTTGGCCTTCGTTATTTTTCCTGTGGCTACGCGGTGGCATTTTTTATGCAACTTGCAATGCATTTATACTTTTGAGAGATGTAAATTACTGATCAATCCTCAAAATGTAAGTCTAAGAAACCTACACGGATCTAAGAAATTTACACGGAAGTTTCGTCGTTACCAAATTTACATCTCTCAAAAGTAGGATTGTATTGCACGTTGCACTGTGTAACCGGGCCTTTACAGACGTTGAAACATGATAGTAAATGGCAAGAGAATTGACGCGTGCACAGTCTTGCACTCCGCAGTTAAAAAAGGTACACTAGAAATAGTAGAATATTTCGTTGAACAAGGCGCTGATGTAAATGGAAAAAAGACTAACAGGTGGACAGTCTTGCACTCCGCTGTTAAAAATGGTACGGTAGAAATAGTGGAATATCTTGTCGAAAAAGGCGCTGATGTAAATGGCAAGAAAAATGACGGCTGGTGTGTGATGCACGCTGCTGTTGCTAAAGTTGCGATAGACGTACTAGAAATAGTAAAATATCTTCTTGAAAATGGAGCCGATGTAAACGGAAAAGATACTAACGGATCGACAGTGCTGCACAGTGCTGTTGCTGGAGGTACGCTAGAAATAGTGAAATATCTTGTTGAAAATGGAGCTGATGTACATGCAAAAGATACTGACGGATGGAAAGTACTGCACACTGCTGTTACCCAAGGTAGGCTAGAATTAGTAAAATGTCTTGTTATTAAACATGGTGCTGACGTAACTCTTAAAAGTAAACGCAGTGTTCATACTCTTGGCATTGACATCCTGATTATGGCTGTTGAGAAAAATTCAGTTGCTTTGGTCAATCTTCTGTTGGAAAAGAACATCGCTGTGTGGAGAGCTGGAACATTTCTTGTTGAAGGAAGACAAATGAGTCTTCTTGAATGGAGTATTCACCCTGGTCATGATGAACTTACAACTATCCGGCTCAAAGGGTCCGTAAATCATCGTGAGAAGATTCAGATGTTGAAAACAATGAATTGCAACAAGTTAGAAGAGGTAAATATTTTTTAAATATATAAAATGTTGTTTCAGTGAGTTTAGGTAGTAACCAAGGTTAATAGGAGGTTTACGATCCACGACGTGGTAAGACGACAGCGCGCATTTGGATTCGTCCCGGTTTAACCAGGCTCGTGTGATGTGTGAATACTGTTACAGATTTATTGCCTTCATTTATTTAAAGATGAGGTAAAGTCCGTTCCGCGCATATATTCCGCGCAGCAACACATTGCATCAGTGGGGGAGCAACTTTTGGAATGTTAATGATATGCGATATTAGCGCGTTATGTTACAAACGGACAGTTCGGGAGCACAATTATTTTATTCTATGTCGCAAGGCGAAGACGCTCGAATTGCGAGTGACGAAGATAAGGCTGGTAGAAAAAAGCAATATTATGCTGAAAGAAATGCTCGAAGAATTTATTTGTTGAATGAGAACGCGAGATAGCGAGGCTATTTGTCGTCGTTAAAGACGCTACCTTCTCGCTTGTCCTACAATTACAAATATATAAAAGTTTTAAATAACGGCCGGTTTATCTACAAGCTCCGCTTTATAAAGCTTCGCTTTATATTTTCTTCAAAATATAATAATATTTTCTTCAAAATATAAAAATATTTTCTTCAAAATATAATAAAAAATAAGTATATTCGTCGCAGATCACAGCCGGACGAGCGAGAAAAAAAATAAGAAAATTAAAACGACACGATCGGACAGATACCTCATGTAAAGATTATATAACCAACGTAAACAAACATTGTTATGCGCAGAATATATGCTCAGATCGTACTTTACATCATCTTTAAACACTCGAGGGGACAGTCCAAGTTTGTCCTTAAAAGGGAAACTTATAGCGACAAAAATTCGACACAAGGGCGACAGAATCAGTCGCATCAGGCGACAATAAAGCAATGCTGAACGCGGCCGGCGTGGATTTGCATTTCGTAGAAGGTCGGTAGCAACTTTGATTGTCGGTAGCATCATTTACAGCTTCGGAAGTCGCCGTGCACTTCGCGACACTTTCTGAATAAAAAATCGACAAGAAGGTATTTTAATTTGTCGAGAATTGCCTCCGTTAAAGTAATCTTCGACAAAATCACAAAGTTTTATAATATATTTTGTAGTTAATCACGTTAAGTATTCCAACTGGTTATTACAACTTCCCACGAATTCTCTAGTCACAACATTAGATAGCACACGGGCTATTAGATCTCTCTCACTCACTCCCTGAACGTCACAGTCCAACTGCTCAGTCTCTGTCTCGTGACCACCTATATCTTCATCTCATCAATCATTATACTATACTTCATGCGATACCTAATAAAATAATAAAGATCTATATGAATATTATCTGTCAATTCCCGACACACTCCCCCATATAGCTCAAATGAGGTATATGTCCATGAAGGGAATGACTTCGTTTTTTTTTTCTTTTTTGAAGTTCATTGTTCACTTCCTATAACAAAAGACATACAATTTTAACTAAATTTAACTAAACTAAATTATGTGTTCATTGGCAGTCTTCTTCCACTTCTGCGTCTTGCTTCAACCGCATCTTCGCTGCTACTGCTGCGTCTCGGGTGGGGCGAGGGGTAAAGATTGGTGCTTCGGGGTTAGGGCTCCACTTCTTTCTGTCGCAGGACAACTCCAACGGGTAGATATGCTGGACTGCTCGCTCGAGGTCGCCGTTCGGAGTCCGTACTCTAACTCCCCGTACTACGTTATCCTTTCCCTCAATCACGCCGCACACGACTCCGAGTTTCCACACGTTACGTCTTTTGTCTTCGTCTTTAATCATGACAACTTCGCCGATCTTTGGGTAGGATTTCTGTCCACTGACTTGTTGTTTGTGCCGTTCGCGCAGACTGCGGACGTATTCTTTCGTCCAACGATTCCACATCGCTTCTTTACACCTTCGTAAAAACCTGGCTCTTTTGCGCAATTCACTATCTCCCAGATGGTGGGCGTCGACTTCTGGTAGGACATTGGGGTTAATGCTCAGCATTGAGCATGGGGTTATTACTGGTAATTGAATGTCGTCCTCGAGGTAGGTCAACGGCCGATTGTTGAGAGCAATCTCGACGTCCAAGACCACTTCTTCTAACTCCTCCAATGTCAGTATTCCATTGCCGATCGTTTTGTAGAACGCTTGTTTGAACAGGCCAATAAGACGCTCGAATTGGCCTCCCCACCACGGTGCACGACTGAGATTGAACCTCCATTCGATTGCGTTATCAGCCAGGAATGCATGAAATTTCTCATCCTTTCGTGATTGCTTCAACCACTTGTCAGCGGCCTTAAAGGTTTTGGCGTTGTCAGAGTATATGATCTTTGGCCGACCACGTCTCGCGATCAATCTTTTCAAGCTCGGTATGAATTCTGCTACTTCCATTGAACGCAGGATCTCGAGATGTACTGCTCGCGTTAAACTGCACCCATATAGCACAAGGTACGCCTTTCTCTCCGCCTTTGCTTTTGTACGGTATCGTATTGGTCCCGCGAAATCCACCCCAACTACTTGAAACGGTGTTGACCCTTGCGTCCTTGTTGTTGGCAACTTACCAGGTGGTGGCTTCTCATACGCTCGAGCTCGAAATCTTACGCACCCGTGGCAAGCCTTTCGCACTTGTTTCACCAACCGTCTCAACTTTGGTATCCAAAACCGTTCACGTACTTTCGCCATGGTCATAGCGACCCCACCATGGAGTGTTGCCAGATGCGCTCGTTCGATTACCTTTTTCGTGAAGGTGGAATTACGGGGTAGGTACATGGGGTAATCTCCGTCAATCCGACCGCGACATTCGAGAATTCCGCTTTCATTAAGCTGTATGTTCAATTGTAGCCGTATATCCTTGAACTCTGGACCCTCCTTGACTTCACTTTGCGCTCTTCTTATCCACCACAACTCGCTATCTTCGATCTCTTCTGACACTAGCGGTCCCATTTTCCGGTTTTTACGGGTCACCATACAATTCTTCACGAACCGATTGATCCAGGCGCAAATTCTAAGCACTTTCCGCAGGGAAAACTTGATGAGCAGTCCTTCAAGGCTATCGGGGCTTATTGGTCGTCTCACCGTCGTCAAGGCTTGTGGATTCTTCGTCGGTTTTATCTCATCTTTCACCTCTCGCGTAGCTTCGAGCACTTGTTTTGGCGGCCATTTGGTAGGATCTTTTAACCATTGGGGCCCATTACTCCACAGTTCGTTTCCAACGACACTTCCACCACGACTACCCACGTCTGCGGGATTCTGTTTCGTCGGTACATGATGCCATTCCACTCGTGTATGTGCTTGAATCTTGGCCACTCGGTTTGCAACGAACTGGCGATATTCGCCTTGACCGTTAATCCAGTAGAGCGCTACTGTGGAATCTAACCAACAATGGACAGACGATACGGCTCGCTGATCTATTGCACTTTCTACGTTCGACACCAAATTAACTGCCATATGTCCAGCGACGAGCTCTAGACGAGGGATGGAGAGATCACGCTTCGCCACTCGTGACTTGGCGCACACCAAGCCTTGTGTTGTTCCATGTTCCTGCTCCACAACCGCGTAGACCACGGCCGACACTCCGACCTTACTCGCGTCGCCAAAGGCATGTAGTGTGATGGCTGACACTGGCTCTTGATGCGGAGCTAAGGAACGCGGAACTTCGTAGCTTCGAGGCAGTCCTTTGCACCACTCCTCCCAGCGTTGTTTCGTTGTCTCAGGCAGTTCACCGTCCCAGGGAAGACGAGCCTCGCACATCTCTCGAAAAAGGTTCTTTCCCTGCAACGTCATTGGCGATACCAATCCGAGTGGGTCGTATACTCTCGCAAGTTGGGATAACGCACTTCTTTTGGTCGTCCCATGTTCCCCACAACTGAGCGTAACACCTACTGGTCTTCGTCTTGTCCCATGGGAGGCCCAGAGTTTGGTTGCGGTTCTCATCACCGAGCTCTTGCTTTGCGAACGTGACTTCGTCGTCATTCGTTGATGGGCTCTCAAGTTCTTTCACATTCGAGTGCCATTTGTGCAATCTGAATTTGGCGTCTTCGAAGATTTCACTGGCTCTCTTCTTCTTTTCCTTTACCGTAGAAATCGTTGCTCCCCCCGTCATAAGATCATCAACGTAGAGGTTCTTACGTATCTCTTCAACTAGGGCAGGGCACTTCGTTTCCCACGACTTCAAATGAACACTCAACACACCGTTTAGTAGGAAGGGAGAACTCGTTAGCCCAAACAACGCTCTCGTGAACCGGTATACAATTGTGTCATCACTTCCCGGCGGTTTCCAATGAAACCTGAGTGCATCACGCTCGGATTCTTTAATCCTAACCTGTAGGAACGCTTTTTGGAGATCACCCGTGACCAGGATTGGAAGGAATCGAGATCGAACAAGAATCGACCAGAGAAGATTTTGCAAACAGGGACCTGGGTTCAGGCAATCATTCAGAGACGGCGACGTCTTGGATTCCCTCGCTGACGCGTCATACACGATCCGAAGCTTAGTCGTTTCTGCGGAGTTCTTGACGACCGCTTTGTGGGGGATGTAGAATTCCCTGTCACTCGCTACTGATGGAGCTAACTCGACCACTCCGTCCTCCAACTGCTGCTTTATGACGTCGTTGTAATCGTCGTACCGACCACTGGATTTTAGTCGCTTTACCAAATTCTCCAATCGTCGTCGACTCCCCATTTCATTGGCAGGCAGCGGGGGGTGATTTGGTTTCCACGGGAGCCCCGTTTCATACCATCCCTCAGAACTTCGCTCGAGCTGTTCCTGGAATTCCTGGTACACAGGAAGCTGATCGTTTTCTGCACTGTCTGCGATACCAAGTACGTCCAGACGGCATAGCTTGTCGAAGTCTACTTGTGAGGTCTGCGTCATGAGCATCTTCGTTTTCTCGAACTCGGTCCCAGGACTTAGAATCATCCATCCAAGCTTAGTTCTCTCTGCCACTGGATCTCCTTCTCTCCCGATGAGAGGCTTCGTAGCTGTCTTTATTCGGGCATAGTCGCCGCTTCCGAGGATGACGTGGATGGGTAATTGGGTTTTCGTGGAGTGATCATCCATATGTACCTCGCTAAGGTGTTGGTAACGCCTTATCAACTTTTCGTACTCGGGGTTTTCGATGAACAGAAGCTCGCTCTTATCAACCTTGCTTAATCGCGTCACCATTTCGTATCTTCCGTCGAGGGAAGTTATTTTTACGTCATATAACTCAACTTTTGCCTTGCGTGATGTCAAGAGCATATCAATTTGTTGGTTTTTAATTTCACTCGGCTTGATGACAAGTGTGTTAATTAACTGAGCTGAGGCGTAAGAGCTCCCGGCGCCAGAGTCTATTAACGCACGGCAAATTAATCCATTTACTTTAATCACGACTACAGGAAATATGCCCTCCCCTGCCACCATCCGTCATCAACTTCTTATCTCCGGAAGCGTGCTGCACAGTTTGATCGCAAATGGAAGTGTGATGACGTTTGTTACAATGTCCGCAGGCAGATTTACTGGTGCAATCAGCAGCGCGATGGGGTTTCATGGCGCAATTAAAACAAAGCCCCTTTTTTGCTAGGATTTTCTTTCGTTCGTTTACTTCACTAATTTTCTCGCATTGTACGGCTTTATGGTTTAAATCACCGCAGTAAACACATCCCTTGGGCATGGGCACGAATCGCTGGTTTTCCTTTCGAGATTGGAACATTTTCCTCGAGCTGCTCTCCGCGTTCCCCGCTAGAGTTAGTTACGGGGTTTCTCCTCACCCACTCGTTTACGGCATGCGTTAACTTTACGAAATCCCAGGATTCCCACTCAGGGTCATCACGCACCAAATCCCCTCGAATTCCCGATATCTTATCTAGAGTCATTGGTACGTACCCCTTTATATCGCTAAGTTTCCCCATAGTCTCAAGTGCTTGAACAGAGTGTGTAAGTCTATCACAAAAGTTAGCAATCTTACGAGGGTTGGTTCCCGAAATATTTGGTAAATCCAAAACCTCATTCACGTAACATTTCTCGATTTCCGGCTCCTTGCCGAATTTCTCTTTCAAAATAGCTTTTGCTCTATTATAACCCTCGAGCCCAAAGGGAAGAGACTCGACACTACGCTTCACCTTCGGTTCTAGCAGCTCTAGCAGATACGTGAATTTCGTCATTGGTGCTAGTGAACTTTTGTCAACCGCCTCAGAAAATTGTCCCCAAAATTTCGGCCAGTCAGTAAAGGAGCCGCCAAACTTGGAGATGACGAGTTTGGGTAATTTTGCCGCCCCAGTCGAAACTACTTTGGGTTCTTTACCTTCCGTTTGAGGTTTGGGGGCCGAAGACAATTCAGCTTGCATTTTCATTCGCGCTTCATGCAACAACTGTTCCTGTTTTAACTCTTCCGCGTGCGTTAGATCTCTTTTGGCCTTTTCGGCTTCAGAAAGGAATTGTTCTAGATTTTGGATGGCCGTGTCTACAGCGTCAAATTTCAGATCTAACTCATCGTTCCATTCCCTAATTTTTTCGAGATCTTCCTTTTGTTCGATTTTTAACGCTTCCGCGGAGCGTCTGCACTCATTGGCCTCGTTGGCCGTTGCTTGCAACGCGACGAGGTGTCGCTTAATTGCTACTCGCTTACCTGCTCTCAGCAGTGTCTTCGACTTCTGTGTTGCGATTTCCAACTGCGTCAACTTGTTCACGAGATTGGTTTGTTCTTTTCCATCCATGTTAACTCCAAAGTTCAAGCGTTCATATATGTTTGCTCAAAAGTTCAATGTATCCCGTCGGTTTGGTGCCACTATGTCGAGAATTGCCTCCGTTAAAGTAATCTTCGACAAAATCACAAAGTTTTATAATATATTTTGTAGTTAATCACGTTAAGTATTCCAACTGGTTATTACAACTTCCCACGAATTCTCTAGTCACAACATTAGATAGCACACGGGCTATTAGATCTCTCTCACTCACTCCCTGAACGTCACAGTCCAACTGCTCAGTCTCTCTCTCGTGACCACCTATATCTTCATCTCATCAATCATTATACTATACTTCATGCGATACCTAATTAAATAATAAAGATCTATATGAATATTATCTGTCAATTCCCGACAAATTATTTGCGAATTTTCTCTATCGACGTGATTCTCAATCCTATTTCAATCATCGTGATAATAGTTTAGCAGAATGTGGTGTAGTTCTTATTAATAAATTGAAACAGGGCGTCTATAAGATAGGGCGGCGAAACGCACGGATGGCGTGTTGAAACATGTGTGATGCGATTTTAGGACTGGGACGGGGCGGTCGGCGAAAAATTCTCGAACAAAACAATATTTACTTGGTTTTTAACAAGCTCGATTAAAACCACTCAATCTCTGAAACTATTAACGTGATATTCACTATTAACGAATTCAAAATATGATATGTTTTTCTTTCGTCATGGCAATGTCGACCTGGCCAAGCTAAAAACAAAACAAGAGAATGCTAACTTACTTACAAGAGCATTTGACCGCGTCACAACAACGTTTTCGAATTTTCAAAATACAAAATTTCCATTAAAAAATTAAAAACCTTGCCATAGCTCCTAAAGCTGGGAAATTTAGAAAATAACTCCCTTGTTCATTAACATCGATTCCACGTGCAAATGGTCGCATAATGTTTTGAACCTTTTTCACAATTTTCTCTGGAAAACGACAACCATAAAACGGAACCATGTTTACAAACTTGTCTTGGTAACCAGCGGGCTGGGACGAGTATAAAAAACACGAAGAAACCCTTTTAAGAACAGCAATTAACTCCTTTACGTTGAAATTAACAGTATTTCCAACTGGGAATGACGAATTTGTGTCATCTGTTGCCAGATCAGTGTCATCCAAACTTATAATCATCTCAACTCTCAAGTTCTTCGTCTCCAAAGTAACCCGCCGCCATTTTGAAAACAGTTTTTCGAATCTTCATGGGGGGGTCCGCACATCACACATGTTTCAACACGCCATCCGAGCGTTTCGCCGCCCTATCTTATAGGCGCCCTGATTGAAATTAGCTCCAGTTAGAATAAATATATATATTTCTTACACTTAGAATATCCTCAACACAACGTGTGGTTGGTTCAGGTAGAACCTCAATATCACAGTCTTCAATATGTTGTACACTATTTGAAAGAAAGATTTCATAACTGAGGGGCTGTTCACATGAGCCAGGTTACTAAGATGACTTTAAAAAAGCTGTTCATGGACAATGGAGAACTAATATGCCATTTGTCATAACGTGTTAATCATAGGATTATAGGATTATATTTGTTCGTTGCGAGAACGATTTTGCTAGGCACTAAGTGTAAATAGTCCCAGATTTAATTGACGCTGTATCGCCTGCGACATGACTTATGCTATATGGAAGGTGTTAAGATAGAGCTAGAAGCAATAAAGACTCGGTGATTGTTTTTATTTACACTTCTTCTGCTGACGAAGAGTAAAAAATATAAAATTGCAGTACGTAGAATCTTTGTGGTGTTTAGATGCTCCATGCAGGTTTAATCTGTAACTCGAGCTGCAAAGCGAAATTGGATCTTACTGGTTTATTGACTATTGTGAAATACCACAGACAATAGTTGATTTTGATGACAAAGATTTTTATCCAATCTATTTCTTTCATTTTCGATGCTGTATCGGCACTCTTTATTATGATGTATAGAACATAAACCATTGAAAGTGGGTAAGTAGATTATAATCACAATGATTTGCTTCAGCACTGCAGAAATCAGAAGCGACTAAAAATCATGTTATGATCGAGACGAGAAGCATATATTTGTGCAAGGTTTGTGCGTCACATTCCCGTGTGATTGCCACACTACACAAATATTACTAGGTTACCTGCACGGTAAGGATTGCTGCGAACATTTTAGGGTCAAAGTGAACTGTTATGTGAAATGTTAGTAAACTAAATCCGTTTTAAATAATAGTAATAGCAGGTTTAAAACACGTAAAGTGAACCTCTATTGAGCGTTAACTCGCTGGGGCTGTACATGAACAAGACGCCAATTCTGGCGGTTACTGCGTCGCGCCAATCGTTGCATGCAACTGTGCCCCATTTCCTGTCAATATTTATTCCTTTAGAAAAATGTTTCTTTCTTAGGGTTTCTAGTAAATAGAGCACTTCTTACAGAATATAGGGGTAAAACTGCATTATTGGTGCTAGGCATATGTAGCTAATAACGATATACGTGAATAAGGCTGAGTTTGGAATCATGTACTCTGGGAATCAGTTTGTACTGAAATTCAATAGGATCGATCTGGCCGTTTTTACCCTTGAAAGGAAGGTGCGGTTTGATTGAAAATGGCATAGAATGGCATACAAGGCTTTCATAGCATACAAGGCTTTCATGGCATACAAGGCTTTCGTGATTCATGTGATCGTTGTCTGTAAACCCGTTTTAGTGTAGGTTTACCATGATCAGTGTGTGCTGGTGTATGCAGAGTGAGCATGACAAGACAAGACGAGAATCCAGCATTATGATTACCTGTACGTATTTTCTCGAACGACAGACGTCTAGATTTCCTGCGCTATCGGCTATGCACAGCGACTCGTGTACGTGTTATTTTATATGACGTGTATCGTGCATGCAGTTTCCTGCTTTTGGTTCGCACGACCCGAGTTCGAATCCCGGCGACAACAAACTTTTTCAATTTTTTGTTTCAGTAAAATATTTTTTTTGTGGGGGTTACTAGGTTTAGGTTACTATTTGAAGTGTGTTTAGCACGAAAATATTTCGATACGAAATCAAACGAGTTCAAAATACGAGTATCTTAGTTGGCCTGCGCGGCCAGGAAGACCGGTGTCAAGCGAAATTTATGACCATTGCGAAATACATGACCACGCGTGAGGAGTCACGAATTTCGCGGCTTACACGCGCGAAAAACATGACGATTGCGAAATCTATGATTTCGGCGGCCGAGTGCGACTGTTTTGTTTTGGCTAATTTTGATCAAAATTTTAGTAAGTTTTAGTAATTAATCGAGAATGAGTGTAAAACAAAGATTCACTAGGACAGATAAAACTTCATTGAAGGCTATTACATCGCTAAAATACTTTAGATTATCGAATTTGAACAAGTATAAACGGCATGTTTTATACGATATTAACCCAGTCCAACTGTCCAAGGTTTACAATCTTGTTAAGAACTTGACTTTGACTTGTCAAGTTCTAGCAAGACCTTACACAAGATCCTGCCAAGATCTTTCTAAGACCTTTTTAAATCATGCAAGATATTTGTCATGATTTTACCATGTCCATGATCATTCATGCAGGATCCTGCAAGATGTTTGTCATGATCCCGCAAGCTGCAAGATCCATGATCAAAATTTTTTCCATGATCATGCAGAATATTGGAAGATTTTGCCATGATCTTGCAGAATCGTGGAAAACGTTTGCTATTATCTTGATTACCCAACTACTTTAATACCCAACCACAGTAGTGCGCAGTATTATAATCTAACCAGGGTCTTCGTTGCGCTGTACTCCCTCCATGAACACAGAAGAGTATTAGAGTGCTAGAGTCAGTTGGGTAATGAAGTAGTTTTCATAGGGTGGTTAGATCATAATTTACTGGGTAATAGAGTGGTTGAATTGAGTGGTTGGGTACTAGAGTCAGTTGGGTGATGAAGTAGTTGGTTAATAGGGTGGTTAGATTGTAAATTACTGGGTACTAGAGTGGTTGGGTACTAGAGTCAGTTGGGTAATGAAGTAGTTTTCATAGGGTGGTTAGATCATAAATTACTGGGTACTAGAGTCAGTTGGGTAATGAAATAGTTGGTTAATAGGGTGGTTATTTCATGAAATACTGGGTACTATAAAGGTACATTGCTTCATTTAATTTCTGACAAGATAATTTGTACAGTTTTACCTCATTTACATCATTATTTACAACTTATTTACATCATTGAAATTTACAAAATTTACATCTTATTTACATATGCACCTTGCAACATCAGCAATAAAATTTTCCTGTAAGTGCAGTTGCGAAGTCCACACCTCTGCAACTGGCATGGAAAATTGGTAACAACGGTCACACCCAAGCCAGTCTTCTCCATCATCCTTCCTGCAAATTTTGCAAACGCCCGTATTTCTCTCAACAGCACTGCGAAAAAAATTCCAAACCGTAGTTAAGCAACTAGTTGTCAACTGTTGATGGAAGGGCTGGCAGCACATTTGAGTATAGTCAATTTTTAATTACAATTTACCTGCCTACATCATCATAACAGGAACCACAAATAGAAGAGAGTATGTTTTTTCTCTCTTTTTCTGGGTCTATTTGTTCCGTCAGGTCCAAACCTTCAACCAAACAGCGTGCAAACTATACAACATAATATAGGTGGAGCAAAATTTTAGATACATAATTACAACAACTGCATATATTTGCTCAATTTCTAAAACTGATTGTAAAAAACATGGTAAAAACTTACAAAACAAACATATACTCCACAGTTATGGCTATCATGCTGCATGCAATGTTGGGGATGGAGGCATGGCCACCTCTTTGTCTTCCATCCAGTCTTGACATCAACCAATTCGCTATGAAATATAATGAAATGGGTATACTAATGTAAACTCATAAAATGCAAAAGAAATTTGACATATTGCATAGTAATAAAAAATTTTTGTACCTCAGTTTTTTAATATGACCCATTAAGCCAGAGGGCTTTCCAGTTTTGAGTGGATCAACGTAAATTTTTCTTTTACCAACTTTGTCAAAAACCTGGGGAAGATATATCAGAATTTGATCAAGTCCAGGATCAGGAAAAGGAGGGGTTTTGCTAGGTCAACTTTATACTCACCAATAGGGTCCAGTGATTTCCATTCAAGTTGATTGGGAAAAGAATCATCCTGCTTAGGGAAAAATTCTTGTCCGACCAAGTACGTCGTGTGCTAGAATTACGATGCACGAGCTGTGAAATGTAGCATTCAGCTGCAAGGACATCTCCACCATTTCTACGCTCTGCCAAACCACTTAAGTAGGCATCGATGACCTATACATGTAAAAATGACTATATAAACAAAGATGTCCTAAAAACAGATTTCCATCACATTTTGACTACTTTATCTAAGGTAAAGAGTAACCCTCCTCTGAAAACAGAAGTAACAGAAATGACAGAAATAAAGACTTCTTACCATATCAGTTAACAAACCAGGCATAAAATCAGGAACTTCGCTTTTTAATGTTTTGAATTGGCAAGTGGAAACTTCTTGCAGTGGGATAAGGGACCAAATATCTCTTCCAGTCAGTTTAGCTGTACCAAAATCAAGGTAGGGAAAACTTAAAGGTATTCCTTTTATGCCCAATTGCTGTAAATGGTGAACTTCGCCAGCAAAGCTCAGTGAAGCAAGAGTTTTTACCTCATTACCAGCACCACGAACCTGGTCATTGGACCTCTCAAACTCTGCAACCTCAACATCCACAACCCCTTCACTAACACATGCAACTTTATCATCCACAACCTCTTCGCCAACACCTGCAACTTTATCATCCACAACCTCTTCACCAACACCTGGAACCTCAACGTCCGCAACCTCTTCACCAACACCTGGAACCTCAACGTCCGCAACCTCTTCACCAACACCTGGAACCTCAACGTCTGCAACCTCTTCACCAACACCTGGAACCTCAACGTCTGCAGCCTCCTCACCCACCACCTACAAACTCAACACACATGCAATGTCTCCTCCACCAACACCTGGAACCTCAACACATGTAACCTCCTCACCACCACCTGCAACCTCAGCTTCTGCAACTGCCATACCAACACCTGCTACCTTATTTTCAACATCTGTATCAGCACCTCTCTCCCGAAATGGTTTAATATGAGCCAGACTGATGCTTTTCACACCTTATTGGTTTTTGTGTTGCGCAAAACAACCTGGTGATCTGTAAGGCTAACAACAACATAACCATAAGCCAATCTGGCGTCATTCGATCACCCTTTCGGCCTCCAAGCTTCTTAGGATTAGCCTTCATGACTGCTTGCCCAACATGAAACTTGTACGCCTTATAACCTTTCATCTTTTTCATTTATAATATTTTTTTTGCTTTTCTTTCGCATTGATGTTATTGGCAGTAACCTATGGAGCAAACATTTTTGTTCACAACTGTGTCCAGTAGCAGGACAATATTGGCATGAAACAAACTACTATACCACAAATTGTTACAACATACCTTAGCTTCCATCACACTCAGCTGTTCCTGCTTGGAACTTACATAATCAGCCACTTCATTAGGGGTTGGTGCTTTCAAAATGATAGGAGCAGGCGCATCATCCTCCTTTTCCACAGGCAACTCTGATGGAAAACGTGGCTTCCTTATTGCATGATCTCATATGGAGTGTGTTTAGTTGATTCGTTAAATGATGAACGGACACCCCAGCATGCTTGTTCAATATAAAGGTGCCAATCATCCTGCTGTTCATTGACCATCTACAAATAGAGTACAGAATGATATAAAGTAGTTTAAGTTCCATGCAGCACTGGTGGTCTACAGATAATGATTTATTACATGAAGTCAAGAATAAAAAAAAACTAACCTAGAATAAAAAAATAAGATAACCTAGACTTTCTACCTTTGAAAGGTGACGCTTAAGAGTTCCATTAGTGCGCTCATCTTGACCATTTGTTTGGGGGTGATAGGCAGCTGTGACAAGATGGCGGATGTTAAATTTTTTGAACATTAATTCGTTCAGCAGCTGAAAATAAATTAAGGTTATACAGATTAGGTTTGCTAATATTAAGCTATCAGGAAGATGTTAAGTGGTGAGCACTTTTACAATGTTTGAAATACTCAGTTAATGTATCTCCATACCTTGTTGTTAAACTCTGTACCTTGGTCACTTAAAATCTTAAGTGGTGCACCCCAACGATGTATCCACTTCACTAACACCTGGTACACACACTCTGCTGATTTTGCCTTGATTGGCTCGGCTTATACCCACTTGGAAAAGAGACATGTCCCTGACATGATGTATTTAAAACCTGTGGATGTCTCCTTGAATGGACCAATAAGATCGATACCAACAAGCTCCCAGGGCTGTTTGGCCTGTGAGTAGAAAATATCTTATCTATGATCAAATCATGCCCACATGGAAAATAAGATAGCAGCAGTAATTGAAATACACATGGGTTTCAAAGCTTATTAGATTTAAGATTAGCTATAAAGTCTCATTTGTTTTGAAGCAGGGATAAGACTTTATGCTCATTAAATCATGTAATTTTTATGAGACTTACATATATTGGTGTCAGTTCAGGAACCATTGTCTTTATCTTTTGCACTTTTTGACACTGAGTGCATGTGGCAATCTAAAAAAACAGCAGGATTTTAAAAACAAGCATATTTTACCCTCATTTTTATAACCTAGGAGAATCTCATCTACACTTACAAACTCCTTTACATCTTCTGTGATGGTTCTCCAATAGAACCGCTCTGTGATGTTTGCCTGTGTGCGCTTCTCTCCCATGTGCCCACCTGTTGTCCCATTGCCATGGATATCATTGAGCACACGTTCAATCTGGAACAAAATTTATCACACAATCAATGAACCAAGTGCTGTCTCATAATGTTCATATTCAACTATTAAACTATATACAATAATAATTACATGTTTATGCTTACTATATTGTCTTTGTCATGCAATTACTATATTCAGAATATATAAAATTAATACATATATTACATGATATATACTAACCTCATCTCTTGTAAATAGCACTTTAACCTTTTTCGTATTCAAATGATTTTTTCCTTGCTTACCCACATAGTACAAAGTGTCACTAAAATCTGATTGAATAATGTGTGGTTCAAACATTGGCATGTGTGTAAGTTTTCAGATTCATTAATGAATGTGTACATATAAAGGGTTAATATATAAAAAAATAAATAGATAAATTTAACTTATAGTTAATAGCGCCAAAGTAGTTAATAGCGCCTAGCCTCCACCACAGGTCTCTCTGTCTCAGCATTTGAAATCGAAAAATAATTTGTCTTACTCTAAGACACTGAGGAACAATCATAGACCATATAATATAGAGATCTGTAGAGGAAGCTAAGAGTTACCCCTGTTGTTTAACTTACAGCTTCTATTTATAGATGAACAGCTTGCCAAAAGATACCAAGCCAAATTATATCAAATAAAGATAAAATAAATTCCACTCAAGCCAAATGAATAATAAGAGGTATAAAACAAGTAAACAATAAAATTTATAAGATCATATCACACATTATTATGATACGATGTTTCACTGCAAAGTTATTAAATGCCTAGACATACCTTCATATTTAAAGTTTCTCGAGGATTGGGAGAGCGTGTGTATATTTTTTCTCCTTGCGACTTTGTCCAGAGTGGCAAAATGAGTTGGTGCCTGGCGTCCTGATTTAAGGAAGTGCAGCACATCTTCCACTGAAGCCTAAGTCATTAAAGTTATAGTGTTAATACATGGCCAAAACAACGGCAAATTCATAGGTATTAATAACAACTAATATCTTGGTTATGATCACAATAATTTCATCATTACGCTAAAACAACAGTCCGAATATCGGTATCAGATCGAAGTCATCGAACATTTGAATTCGAATTAAACAGAGTTTGCACGACAATGACATACCTTATATTTACAGATTTCCGAGTCAGGTTTCTTTCCTTTCACGTCAGAACAGCAAGCTGATTCCGTTGTTGGATTTGCACCCATTTAAGTAACAAAAATACTTCGAAAAATCTTTCTTTCAGACAAGTCAGAGAACACGTGTTGAACAGTAAACAAGTTGCGAAATTTATGAGCACAATGTAATTTATGCGCGCATTTGCGCTTGCGCATGCCCAGAACCGCGACACTCATATATTTCGCAAGTCATAAATTTCGCGTGACACCGGATCGAAAACGTACAAAACACAAAAAACAAAACAAAACAAAACACCGACGGCAATTTAAGACTGCGTTCGCGCAGTGCGCGACGCAGTAATTAATACCTACTGTTAATACCTGTTAGCGAGAACACTGTCAATGACGTCATGTAGGTCAATATGTGCTATATCAAGTTCTAACTTTTATTTTGGAATTGTTTTGAAATAGGCTGGTTTATATTATGATTTCGCGAGTAAATTTGGTATGAAGAAAAAAGATTTATAAATGTTCAATTGCCCAAAGGATTTGTAGATTGCACTCGGCAAAAACGAATCATCTGAAAATAGCCATTTTACAGTGTCATGAATACCAATTTCCCCGGTGTTGGATAGACCCGGGAGTGTTTTTCCCGTTCTCAAGGGTAAAGTGATGTTTTGCTACTATTCAAATGAAGCCAAACATTTACATGAAATCCTTGAACAAAGACAAATATAGCATATTTCAAAAACAAATATCCATGTTACCAAAAAATGTTTTATTTTGTTAAACATGTGCTACTGCTCAGGGCCTGTATTTTCGCTAGGCGGAATTTTGCGCCCAAACAATATTTTCCGCGCGAAAACTGAAAAGTACAATCACTGAGCTATATTAAATTCCTGGAGGCCCCTGGAGGACCAGCTCGTCATTTTTCGGTAACTTCGCCGTTATCTTTTTGTCATCAAAAACAGGGCGGACTTCGCCCTTTTGCACAACCGCAGAAGCTCTGCTGACGCCACATGGTTCCTTTTGCCCATGGTAGTTATAACTGACCGGGCTCAATTGTGAGCCCGCTACAGCAGTATTCTCCCTCCTGGATTTAGTAATGAATTTAGTAAACAACAGGTTCTCCCTCTTGGTTTTTATGATTTTTTTTGCAGTGAAATCTTTTTGTTTTGTTTTTTCGTTATATTTTCCGGCCTAGCCTGCAATAAAGTGTTTCTTTTGAAGATGAATGCAAGTCGTAGACGCTGCTTTTGCCAATGCGAAAACAAATATATAGTAAAACGTCAAAAAATGTGGACAAAACTAAAGATTTTCATACTGACAATAACTGACAGGTTTATTTTTTATTTTCTTAATCATATTTTCATTATTTATACATTCCTATATGAAATTTAACAAATTCTTGAACTTTTTGGCACTATTGTCGGATATTTTAAGGACAAATGGATATTTATGGACATCAATTAGGCTTTTCGGAACCCTGAACTGCAGAAATATTACCAAAAGTATGCAATTATTATTGATATCCTCTTGAATGTCTCCAGGACTTTATATCTATGCTGACCAATCTTGCTAACTATGCATAATCCAAGGAACTGAGAAAGCTGAGGCAAGATGCTGGGCAGCTGACTAATGCTAAGTGCAGCTTGTACCTCAATGGGCTATAAAAGTTTTCAATTGTCTAATAGCACCCCTGGCCATAGTAATGAATAGTATTAATTCCTGCATAGACTCATTATTCCTAATAATTAAAAATAGCCCCTTGGAAGTTGATACTATATAAACAGAAAATTATAAAAGTGGGTGCTGATTGAAAACACACTGCTCATGCAGTCAATGCATTTTTATATTTATTTTTTCATAAATATAACCATTGTTATAAAAACACAAGCCAACAACAAATCAGTTAACATGGTAATTAAGAAAAACAATAATGCACATTCATAACAATGTGTATAATGTGCTATATACAATAATAATTTTCATCTCAGTTAAGATAATATATTAACTAGCCTTTAACAGTCACTATCAGATATTGAAATTTTACACTGTTTGCAGCAAAAATTACTTTTTTATCAGCACCCAGTCGGCACTTTTCTCAGTCAGATTATGTTAATTGATGAAGGGATCTTGTAGTCAACTCACTGGGGGAAAGGTTTACTTATTAACATTGATATTTGCTATCATGAAAACAACATAGACCAAACTCAAAAGATTGACACTGCCAGAAATTTAATTCCTTCCCCAGACAACAAGTCAAGAAAAATCAGATAAAGTTTGGGTAAATAACATTGCACTGTAATGTACCAAAGGTCGAAAATAGTATATTTGCTGTTTGTACCATAAGCTTTGATGGATTTATTGGCTCAGAACCTTTGGTAATCAGTTTATAAAAAAGGCAAAAAACCAAATTGTTAGAAACACCGGCTTACCTGGATGCTATAAAATAACAGCAAAATGAGAAAATTCACTCTCCCGATAAGTGAATCAAGACATTCACAACGTCAGACGTAGAGCACAAAGTTACGTCGCCTCTCCATTTGTTAAAGAGTGAAACAGAGGAACATTTTTATCTTTTTTATATTAAATACAAAAAATATATACCGAAAGCCGAAAATATTTCCATAAAAACCACGAGGGAGATGAACACAGTTTTTCACCTTGTATCGCGGTATGTCAGTGGTAATTACCATGAGCAAAAGGAACCATGTGCGTTTGTGGCGTCAGCAAAGCTCAAAATCCGCCATCTTTTTGGCGACACGATTTGGCCGCGAGCCGGTCCTCCAGGAATTTAATATAGCTCAGTGAGTACAATACTTTCAACTTTGTTGCGGGGAAAATGTCGCTATATATACGCGCGCCGCTATTCTAGCTAATATTACCATTATTATTAATATTCCTGTTGTGATTCGTATGTTAAAAAATTTTTAAAACTAGCTATACAAGTTAAAATTATAAAGGTAACTGTAAACGTAACATATGAACGAAAGATGAAAATATCTTACCTTGACTAGTCACAATAGAACAGAAGCTTTAAAATTTAACAAAAATTTGAAGACCCTGTCCATCCAAATCAAAAAGGCACATGGGTATGAGCGAGTTTAAAATATGTGTTCTGCGCATAAAAAACGCGTACGACACAATTTCTTGCGCTAAATAAAATTTAGTTCAGAACCCCCTCTCTGCACAAATCAGACTGCTGCTACGCTCGCTCGCTTCAGGCTCGCTCGCTCCGCAGAAATTATATCAGTGAATCAAGCAGCGTTCATGTTAACCTCAGAAACCTATTTTTTATTTGAAACACAAGTATTTTGTTAAAGTAAGGTACCAGTATTGCAAGCAATTATAAATGACGATATAAGGCGTTTATTGGCGCGGCACGCCGGGCTCGGCTAAAATTGGTACTAGAAAAGTCTCGAATCCAATTTTATTAGTGCTCGGGCTACGAATACAAAGGCGTAGCACCGATAAAACATTTTACAAAATTTACACACGATAATTAGATAACTATAGTTTTCATCCATTTAGACCCACAAAGAATACAATTGTTGTAAACTCTGAGTAAATTTCTCTTTCTCTTCTAAAGTCGAACAACAACTATTCCCAACGATATTCCCAACTTCACCACTGCCAGGCTGGTTGTTCTTAACGTTTATAATAGAAATGGATATAAAGCCAGAAACAAGTGGATATACAAGTGTCCGCAAATATGGTTCGAAACATCTTCGAGACGATGGAATAACTTTTCAGACTACAATGCGGCTTCCACCTTTTACATTAGTAATTGTGAAGTTTTTGGTTAAATATTGTGGTGCTGACTTAAGTTGTAAAGATGAGTCGGGCAAAACTGCTTTGCATCTTGCTGTTATTGGTGGTGAAACAGACTTTGTCAAATATTTTGTTGAACAATGTGGCGTTGATGTAAATGACAAGGAAAAAAAAGGGCGGACAGCGCTGAACTACGCTGTTACTAAATATACGCCAGAAATTGTGAAAGATCTTGTTGAACATGGCGCTGATGTAAATGCGAAGGATAATAACGGGTGGACAGTTCTGCACCATGCTGTCACTAAAGGTGTACCAGAAATTGTAAAATATCTTGTTGAACATGGCGCTGATGTAAATGAGGTGAAAAATAACGGGTGGACTGTGCTGCACGATGCTGTTATTAAAGGTACGGTAGAAATTCCAAAATATCTTGTTGAACATGGCGCTGATGTAAATAGCAAGGATATTAACGGGTGTACAGTGTTGCACTATGCTGTTATTAAAGGCACGGTAGAAATAGTAAAATATCTTGTTGAATATGGGGCTGATGTAAATGGCAAGGATATTAACGGGTGTACAGTGTTGCACTATGCAGGTAATAGATTAGAAATTGTCAAGTATTTAGTTGAAAAGGGTGCTGACGTGACCCTTCACACTCACAATCTTGGCATTTACACCCTCATAATGGCTGTTGAGAGAAATTCAGTTGCTTTGATCAATCTTCTGTTGGAAAAGAACATCGCTGTGTGGAGAGCTGGACTATTTCGTGTTCAGGGAAGATATATGAGTCTTCTTGAATTGAGTATTCAGCTTGGTCATGATGAAATTACAACTATCCTCAAAAGGTCCATAAATCATTGTGAGAAGATTCAGATGTTGAAAGCACTGAATTGCAACCAGTTAAAAGAGGTAATGCTTCAAACATACACGAGATATTTTTGAACTGAGCCGTACAAGCTATACTTGATAATTCGAAATATGTCTGCAGGAGCGTAGGAACCGGGGGTTGGCGTCACGGGCACGTGCGACACCAAATTTTTCAAGGGCCAAAAAGTGCCCTTTTTATTAACCAAACCTGGAAGCTAGTGCCCCCCAATCTCTGGATGCTTCGTACGCCCCCGTCTATCTGCTAAAATATCATGCATGGCGGACTTTCTGTGAAGCTATCTCGGAATAGGGTTTCCATGGTAACGACTTCGTATGAAAAATGCCTTAGTAACTGAGCTTTGACTATTTGCCTTCACTGATAACAATGCTCAAATCGTTTTTGCTCCTAACTTTTCACAATAGATAATTTGTACTTTTTCGTCCATAGACTGAAACACCGATGCAGGCTTTTGTCGCAAAGAATCGATTCAAAATTGGTGCTGGTGGTTTTTCTTGTGTCTATGTTGGTCTCATGAAGGATGGAAGTGAAGTTGCTGTTAAGAGAATTTTGGTACAAAGTGAGGATGAAACAGTTGAAAACGAAAAGGAAATCATGAGTCTCATTGAAACAAACTCTCCATTTATAGTGAAATATCGACATTTTCACCGTGACGATACCTTCATGTATCTTATTGTTGATCTTTGCGAAGAAACCTTGAGGGAACTTGTTCATGCATGCAGTATTAAACATCTACAAGAGCAAGGTCCACGAATGATTGGGGAAATTCTATCAGGACTAGAATTTCTTCATTGGAAAGGAATATTGCACAGAGATCTAAAACCATCAAACGTCCTGGTTGATATCGAAGGTCGCATGAAATTGGCAGATTTTGGAATAAGTCGCGTTGTTAATGAAGATGAAACGACAGTTGAAACAGATGCAAAAGGTACTCGTGGATGGATGCCACCAGAAGTAATTGAAGCAATAGTTAAAAAAGAAAAAAGTCGTTTTAAAAGAAAATCAGATGTCCATGTCGCGGGTATGATTGCTTTTTACGTGTTGACCAAAGGTGAGCATCCTTTTGGATCTGAATTAGATCGAATGAAAAATATTTTGGAGGATAATCCTGTCAATTTGGAGAAACTTGGTAATCGCACAGCTCTTAGGTTTGTGTCATGGCTGATTAATCACAAGATTGATGATAGACCTTACGCTGACGAAACACTGGAAGATTTCTTTTTTAGCAACTCCGCAAGGAACATAGCGAGCAATTAGACAACAGCCTCGACGTTTGTTTGAAATGACGAATCCTTCCTAGCCCAAGTTTGTCCATGAAGGAAAAATAATTAGCGAGGTTGTTTTATCGCACCCATTGGGCGTTGCATATTTTTTACACGTGAAATATCCTTGTTATAAAGTGCTTAACACAACGTGTTGTTTGTTTAGGTAGAATATAAATATTACTACAGTCTTCAATATATTGTACACTTTTTCAAAGAAATTATTCATAACTGAGGGGCTGTTCACATGAACCAGGTTACCGAGATAAATTTAAAAAAGGTGTTTGGATTATCGAGAACTAGCCATTTCCAGCTGATCTGAGATCATGACGTCATAAATCGTCTCTACAAAACTTAGTTATCATACGCCTGGTGTTATTTGTCCCTATTCGTCTAACTAATAGTATAAAGGGTGAAAAATTTAAATTCTAATTTACAGTTGAGAAAAAATGTTTCAGAAACTGATCATTGATGAAAAACCTTTCTTTCTGTTTGAACAAAATAAAGATTCCTGTGATTTTCCACTGGATCGCACCTCATGTTCAAGAGTTCATTCTGCTTTAGTCTTTCATAAACATTCAAACAGACCATTTTTTATTGATCTAAAAAGCAGTAAGTGCAATGTTTTGATTTGAAGTTAAACTTAAATAAGTTTACCAGGCTCTCTCTGTACCCTGAGACAAACTGACATCCCAGCTAGACTGTAACATATTTTACATGAATAATTCTGGGTGTAATTAAATATATCTTATTGTCTGAAAAACTGGATTGGCACCAGTCAGAATTTTTTGTGATGAAATTTGACCCAAATGACTTTACTCTCCAAACATCATAAAGTAGGAATATAAAAATTAGTTATGTATCTTGATGTGGATGCATTTTTCAAAACTAGTGCTAAATATTTTCACCCAAAATCATGAAAATGAACGCAAATAGTAATGCAAACTGTATTCCGTAAAATGCTTTAAAATGACAAAGAATTTTAAACCATTTTTTAACCATTGTATGACAGAAATTATTGTATGACAATAATTTTTGACGAAAATTGGATTGTCTCTGGTCTGCCCTATTACACACTTGCATAGCAATCGGAGGGTGGGTGAAGGTGCAATCCTACCGCACTTTACTTCCTGGTTAAATTTCTCATTCTTGGAAAACTCGGAAAATTGCATGATAGAGAGTGTATGCAATGAAATTTTGCAGTAAGCCATCACTTCATACCTTTATACCCCCCTCATTCTTTTTCAGCTGTGATGGCATAGTAATAGGAGGGTGGGTGAGGGTGAAACCCTCCCCAGCTTTTCTTCAAGATCATATTTCTTACACTTCAAAGACCTGAAAGATAAAGGGCAACGGGGTCTATCCGATGAAATGTTTTGCCTTCAGCCATCATTCCCCAGCTTCACCCTCCCCCCTTACTTGTTTTGGGAAAAACTAACATTACCAAGCGCTATGCATGCGACAATGCATGGTAATAGTGAACAAAATGTGGATAGAGAGGATTATGAGGATAACGAAGGTTCAACGGGGTATTTTTGGGATTGCCGGAGTTCGATACTGATCTTAAGGTGAGTTCCGTTCTTTTTTACGAATTTCTTTGATCAAAATGTATGTATATAAGTAAATTTCCGTGAAGTGCACAAAACTTTCGTAATTGCCAAATTTACATCTCTGAAAAGTTGAATCGGATCGCAAGTTTCATGATTGCAAAATTGCAGCGTTCAACGTGAACTTATATAAGGGTTGTTTAATACCACTTCGATCTTAACCTATCGTATTTATTTCCTTCCTGGGCACTCGGCTTGAACTAGTGACTTTAAAACAATGGGTTATATTACGGTACCGTTTGAAGTAGAGAACAGCTCTAAGAGTTTGTAAGGGAATGCAAACCGTAACAGTGTGAACCCATAACCAACTTCTACCATCAGAGTACTCTGTGAAAGTTCCGATATAACCAGGGAGCAGCGTGGCATTGTCTTCAAACAACTTAGCATCAAATGTGGTATAACAACTGCCTAAAATAGACAAAACACTTCTCGACATTTCGACCTGAGGGCCTTCTTCAGGAGAGTTAGTATGACTAACTGTTTACAACTACATATTCAATGCCTAATATTCAAGTAGACTCACTCTTACATCTCTCAAAGTCAGACTCAGAGAGATGTAAGAGTGTGACAGTTATTTAATTTTGACTTATCCACCGTTTAAGCTAAATGGGCTTGATACAACCGGCCCCAGTACCACTCAGTTTATTATAGCTAATGTAAGGAACGATGAAGTTTCACTCAGTGCCCTGTTACACAACAGGCAGCCCGGTCACTGCTGTTACGTCATGCTATTATATATGTATATAATTACAATAAGGCTGGCAACTCTCTCGCAAAAAATATATTACATACATTAATACCATCGCTTAAAACAAAAATACTACGCTCGTTTCTTAAAAAAAACCCAGATACAAAACACCTTGGATATATTGACTATATTTATCTGTCGTTTTTAGATTTTTGCGTCAAATTTGCGAATTAAAGTGTATTTTCGTTGAAATTTTGCGAAACAGAGGCGGGATGCAATTTACTTGACAAACGTCATCATCGGAGAATTCGTCGGCAAATTTCTGATTGGCTGCGGCAAGTTCGGAAAATAACGAAGATCTTTTTTTTTCATTGAGTTGGCCTTCGTTATTTTTCCTGTGGCTACACGGTGGAATTTTTTATGCAACTTGCAATGCATTTATACTTTTGAGAGATGTAGATTACCGATCAATCCACAAAATGTAAGTCTAAGAAACCTACACGGATCTAAGAAATTTACACGGAAGTTTCGTCGTTACCAAATTTACATCTCTCAAAAGTAGGATTGTATTGCAGGTTGCACTGTGTAACCGGGCCTTTACAGACTTGAAACATGATAGTAAATGGCAAGAGAATTGACGCGTGACAGTCTTGCACTTGCAGTTAAAAAAGGTACACTAGAAATAGTAGAATATCTCGTTGAACAAGGCGCTGATGTAAATGGAAAAAAGACTAACAGGTGGACAGTCTTGCACTCCGCTGTTAAAAATGGTACGGTAGAAATAGTGGAATATCTTGTCGAAAAAGGCGCTGATGTAAATGGCAAGAAAAATGACGGCTGGTGTGTGATGCACGCTGCTGTTGCTAAAGTTGCGATAGACGTACTAGAAATAGTAAAATATCTTCTTGAAAATGGAGCCGATGTAAACGGAAAAGATACTAACGGATCGACAGTGCTGCACAGTGCTGTTGCTGGAGGTACGCTAGAAATAGTGAAATATCTTGTTGAAAATGGAGCTGATGTACATGCAAAAGATACTGACGGATGGAAAGTACTGCACACTGCTGTTACCCAAGGTAGGCTAGAATTAGTAAAATGTCTTGTTATTAAACATGGTGCTGACGTAACTCTTAAAAGTAAACGCAGTGTTCATACTCTTGGCATTGACATCCTGATTATGGCTGTTGAGAAAAATTCAGTTGCTTTGGTCAATCTTCTGTTGGAAAAGAACATCGCTGTGTGGAGAGCTGGAACATTTCTTGTTGAAGGAAGACAAATGAGTCTTCTTGAATGGAGTATTCACCCTGGTCATGATGAACTTACAACTATCCGGCTCAAAGGGTCCGTAAATCATCGTGAGAAGATTCAGATGTTGAAAACAATGAATTGCAACAAGTTAGAAGAGGTAAATATTTTTTAAATATATAAAATGTTGTTTCAGTGAGTTTAGGTAGTAACCAAGGTTAATAGGAGGTTTACGATCCACGACGTGGTAAGACGACAGCGCGCATTTGGATTCGTCCCAGTTTAACCAGGCTCTTGTGATGTGTGAATACTGTTACAGATTTATTGCCTTCATTTATTTAAAGATGAGGTAAAGTCCGTTCCGCGCATATATTCCGCGCAGCAACACATTGCATCAGTGGGGGAGCAACTTTTGGAATGTTAATGATATGCGATATTAGCGCGTTATGTTACAAACGGACAGTTCGGGAGCACAATTATTTTATTCTATGTCGCAAGGCGAAGACGCTCGAATTGCGAGTGACGAAGATAAGGCTGCTAGAAAAAAGCAATATTATGCTGAAAGAAATGCTCCAAGAATTTATTTGTTGAATGAGAACGCGAGATGGCGAGGCTATTTGTCGTCGCTAAAGACGCTACCTTCTCGCTTGTCCTACAATTACAAATATATAAAAGTTTTAAATAACGGCCGGTTTATCTACAAGCTCCGCTTTATAAAGCTTCGCTTTATATTTTCTTCAAAATAGAATAATATTTACTTCAAAATATAAAAATATTTTCTTCAAAATATAATAAAAAATAAGTATATTCGTCGCAGATCACAGCCGGACGAGCGAGAAAAAATAAGAAAATTAAAACGACACAATCGGACAGATACCTCATGTAAAGATTATATAACCAACGTAAACAAACATTGTTATGCGCAGAATATATGCTCAGATCGGACTTTACATCATCTTTAAACACTCGAGGGGACAGTCCAAGTTTGTCCTTAAAAGGGAAACTTATAGCGAAAAAATTGGACGCAAGGCGACAGAATCAGTCGCATCAGGCGACAATAAAGCAATGCTGAACGCGGCCGGCGTGGATTTGCATTTCGTAGAAGGTCGGTAGCAACTTTGATTGTCGGTAGCATCATTTACAGCTTCGGAAGTCGCCGTGCACTTCGCGACACTTTCTGAATAAAAATCGACATGAAGGTATTTTAATTATTTGCGAATTTTCTCTATCGACGTGATTCTCAATCCTATTTCAATCATCGTGATAATAGTTTAGCAGAATGTGCTGTAGTTCTTATTAATAAATTGAAACAGGGCGTCTATAAGATAGGGCGGCGAAACGCACGGATGGCGTGTTGAAACATGTGTGATGCGATTTTAGGACTGGGACGGGGCGGTCGGCGAAAAATTCTCGAACAAAACAATATTTACTTGGTTTTTAACAAGCTCGATAAAACCACTCAATCTCTAAAACTATTAACGTGATATTCACTATTAACGAATTCAAAATATGATATGTTTTTCTTTCGTCATGGCAATGTCGACCTGGCCAAGCTAAAAACAAAACAAGAGAATGCTAACTTACTTGCAAGAGCATTTGACCGCGTCACAACAACGTTTTCGAATTTTCAAAATACAAAATTTCCATTAAAAATTAAAAAACCTTGCCATAGCTCCTAAAGCTGGGAAATTTAGAAAATAACTCCCTTGTTCATTAACATCGATTCCACGTGCAAATGGTCGCATAATGTTTTGAACCTTTTTCACAATTTTCTCTGGAAAACGACAACCATAAAACGGAACCATGTTTACAAACTTGTCTTGGTAACCAGCGGGCTGGGACGAGTATAAAAAACACGAAGAAACCCTTTTAAGAACAGCAATTAACTCCTTTACGTTGAAATTAACAGTATTTCCAACTGGGAATGACGAATTTGTGTCATCTGTTGCCAGATCAGTGTCATCCAAACTAATAATCATCTCAACTCTCAAGTTCTTCGTCTTCAAAGTAACCCGCCGCCATTTTGAAAACAGTTTTTCGAATCTTCATGGGGGGTCCGCACATCACACATGTTTCAACACGCCATCCGAGCGTTTCGCCGCCCTATCTTATAGGCGCCCTGATTGAAATTAGCTCCAGTTAGAATAAATATATATATTTCTTACACTTAGAATATCCTCAACACAACGTGTGGTTGGTTCAGGTAGAACCTCAATATCACAGTCTTCAATATGTTGTACACTATTTGAAAGAAAAATTTCATAACTGAAGGGCTGTTCACATGAGCCGGGTTACCAAGATGACTTTAAAAAAGCTGTTTGGACAATGGAGAACTAACTAGCTATAGGCATTTGTCATAACGTCTTTAAAATTATAGGATTATTATATTTGTTCGTTGCGAGAACGATTTTGCTAGGCACTAACTTTAGTATGCCCAGATTTAATTGACGCTGTATCGCCTGCGACATGACTTATGCTGTATGGAAGGTCTTGAGATAGAGCTAGAAGCAATAAAGACTCGGTGATTTTTTTATTTACACTTCTTTTGCTGACGAAAATGAAAAATATATAATCGAAGTAGCTACGTAGAATCTTTGTGGTGTTTAGATGCTCCATGCAGGTTTAATCTGTAACTCGAGCTGCAAAGCGAAATTGGATCTTACTGGTTTATTGACTATTGTGAAATACCACAGACAATAGTTGATTTTGATGACAAAGATTTTTATCCAATCTATTTCTTTCATTTTCATGCTGTATCGGCACTCTTTATTATGATGTAGAACATAAACCATTGAAAGTGGTAAGTAGATTATAATCACAATGATTTGCTTCAGCTGCAGAAATCAGAAGCGACTAAAAATCATGTTATGATCGAGACGAGAAGCATATATTTGTGCAAGGTTTGTGCGTCACATTCCCGTGTGATTGCCACACTACACAAATATTACTAGGTTACCTGCACGGTAAGGATTGCTGCGAACATTTTAGGGTCAAAGTGAACTGTTATGTGAAATGTTAGTAAACTAAATCCGTTTTAAATAATAGTAATAGCAGGTTTAAAACACGTAAAGTGAACCTCTATTGAGCGTTAACTCGCTGGGGCTGTACATGAACAAGACGCCAATTCTGGCGGTTACTGCGTCGCGCCAATCGTTGCATGCAACTGTGCCCCATTTCCTGTCAATATTTATTCCTTTAGAAAAATGTTTCTTTCTTAGGGTTTCTAGTAAATAGAGCACTTCTTACAGAATATAGGGGTAAAACTGCATTATTGGTGCTAGGCATATGTAGCTAATAACGATATACGTGAATAAGGCTGAGTTTGGAATCATGTACTCTGGGAATCAGTTTGTACTGAAATTCAATAGGATCGATCTGGCCGTTTTTACCCTTGAAAGGAAGGTGCGGTTTGATTGAAAATGGCATAGAATGGCATACAAGGCTTTCATAGCATACAAGGCTTTCATGGCATACAAGGCTTTCGTGATTCATGTGATCGTTGTCTGTAAACCCGTTTTAGTGTAGGTTTACCATGATCAGTGTGTGCTGGTGTATGCAGAGTGAGCATGACAAGACAAGACGAGAATCCAGCATTATGAACCTGTACGTATTTTCTCGAACGACAGACGTCTAGATTTCCTGCGCTATCGGCTATGCACAGCGACTCGTGTACGTGTTATTTTATATGACGTGTATCGTGCATGCAGTTTCCTGCTTTTGGTTCGCACGACCCGAGTTCGAATCCCGGCGACAACAAACTTTTTCAATTTTTTGTTTCAGTAAAATATTTTTTTGTGGGGGTTACTAGGTTTAGGTTACTATTTGAAGTGTGTTTAGCACGAAAATATTTCGATACGAAATCAAACGAGTTCAAAATACGAGTATCTTAGTTGGCCTGCGCGGCCAGGAAGACCGGTGTCAAGCGAAATTTATGACCATTGCGAAATACATGACCACGCGTGAGGAGTCACGAATTTCGCGGCTTACACGCGCGAAAAACATGACGATTGCGAAATCTATGATTTCGGCGGCCGAGTGCGACTGTTTTGTTTTGGCTAATTTTGATCAAAATTTTAGTAAGTTTTAGTAATTAATCGAGAATGAGTGTAAAACAAAGATTCACTAGGACAGATAAAACTTCATTGAAGGCTATTTACATCGCTAAAATACTTTAGATTATCGAATTTGAACAAGTATAAACGGCATGTTTTATACGATATTAACCCAGTCCAACTGTCCAAGGTTTACAATCTTGTTAAGAACTTGACTTTGACTTGTCAAGTTCTAGCAAGACCTTACACAAGATCCTGCCAAGATCTTTCTAAGACCTTTTTAAATCATGCAAGATATTTGTCATGATTTTACCATGTCCATGATCATTCATGCAGGATCCTGCAAGATGTTTGTCATGATCCCGCAAGCTGCAAGATCCATGATCAAAATTTTTTCCATGATCATGCAGAATATTGGAAGATTTTGCCATGATCTTGCAGAATCGTGGAAAACGTTTGCTATTATCTTGATTACCCAACTACTTTAATACCCAACCACAGTAGTGCGCAGTATTATATTATCTAACCAGGGTCTTCGTTGCGCTGTACTCCCTCCATGAACACAGAAGAGTATTAGAGTGCTAGAGTCAGTTGGGTAATGAAGTAGTTTTCATAGGGTGGTTAGATCATAATTTACTGGGTAATAGAGTGGTTGAATTGAGTGGTTGGGTACTAGAGTCAGTTGGGTGATGAAGTAGTTGGTTAATAGGGTGGTTAGATTGTAAATTACTGGGTACTAGAGTGGTTGGGTACTAGAGTCAGTTGGGTAATGAAGTAGTTTTCATAGGGTGGTTAGATCATAAATTACTGGGTACTAGAGTCAGTTGGGTAATGAAATAGTTGGTTAATAGGGTGGTTATTTCATGAAATACTGGGTACTATAAAGGTACATTGCTTCATTTAATTTCTGACAAGATAATTTGTACAGTTTTACCTCATTTACATCATTATTTACAACTTATTTACATCATTGAAATTTACAAAATTTACATCTTATTTACATATGCACCTTGCAACATCAGCAATAAAATTTTCCTGTAAGTGCAGTTGCGAAGTCCACACCTCTGCAACTGGCATGGAAAATTGGTAACAACGGTCACACCCAAGCCAGTCTTCTCCATCATCCTTCCTGCAAATTTTGCAAACGCCCGTATTTCTCTCAACAGCACTGCGAAAAAATTCCAAACCGTAGTTAAGCAACTAGTTGTCAACTGTTGATGGAAGGGCTGGCAGCACATTTGAGTATAGTCAATTTTTAATTACAATTTACCTGCCTACATCATCATAACAGGAACCACAAATAGAAGAGAGTATGTTTTTTCTCTCTTTTTCTGGGTCTATTTGTTCCGTCAGGTCCAAACCTTCAACCAAACAGCGTGCAAACTATACAACATAATATAGGTGGAGCAAAATTTTAGATACATAATTACAACAACTGCATATATTTGCTCAATTTCTAAAACTGATTGTAAAAAACATGGTAAAAACTTACAAAACAAACATATACTCCACAGTTATGGCTATCATGCTGCATGCAATGTTGGGGATGGAGGCATGGCCACCTCTTTGTCTTCCATCCAGTCTTGACATCAACCAATTCGCTATGAAATATAATGAAATGGGTATACTAATGTAAACTCATAAAATGCAAAAGAAATTTGACATATTGCATAGTAATAATAAAATTTTTGTACCTCAGTTTTTTAATATGACCCATTAAGCCAGAGGGCTTTCCAGTTTTGAGTGGATCAACGTAAATTTTTCTTTTACCAACTTTGTCAAAAACCTGGGGAAGATATATCAGAATTTGATCAAGTCCAGGATCAGGAAAAGGAGGGGTTTTGCTAGGTCAACTTTATACTCACCAATAGGGTCCAGTGATTTCCATTCAAGTTGATTGGGAAAAGAATCATCCTGCTTAGGGAAAAATTCTTGTCCGACCAAGTACGTCGTGTGCTAGAATTACGATGCACGAGCTGTGAAATGTAGCATTCAGCTGCAAGGACATCTCCACCATTTCTACGCTCTGCCAAACCACTTAAGTAGGCATCGATGACCTATACATGTAAAAATGACTATATAAACAAAGATGTCCTAAAAACAGATTTCCATCACATTTTGACTACTTTATCTAAGGTAAAGAGTAACCCTCCTCTGAAAACAGAAGTAACAGAAATGACAGAAATAAAGACTTCTTACCATATCAGTTAACAAACCAGGCATAAAATCAGGAACTTCGCTTTTTAATGTTTTGAATTGGCAAGTGGAAACTTCTTGCAGTGGGATAAGGGACCAAATATCTCTTCCAGTCAGTTTAGCTGTACCAAAATCAAGGTAGGGAAAACTTAAAGGTATTCCTTTTATGCCCAATTGCTGTAAATGGTGAACTTCGCCAGCAAAGCTCAGTGAAGCAAGAGTTTTTACCTCATTACCAGCACCACGAACCTGGTCATTGGACCTCTCAAACTCTGCAACCTCAACATCCACAACCCCTTCACTAACACATGCAACTTTATCATCCACAACCTCTTCGCCAACACCTGCAACTTTATCATCCACAACCTCTTCACCAACACCTGGAACCTCAACGTCCGCAACCTCTTCACCAACACCTGGAACCTCAACGTCCGCAACCTCTTCACCAACACCTGGAACCTCAACGTCTGCAACCTCTTCACCAACACCTGGAACCTCAACGTCTGCAGCCTCCTCACCACCACCTACAAACTCAACACATGCAATGTCTCCTCCACCAACACCTGGAACCTCAACACATGTAACCTCCTCACCACCACCTGCAACCTCAGCTTCTGCAACTGCCATACCAACACCTGCTACCTTATTTTCAACATCTGTATCAGCACCTCTCTCCCGAAATGGTTTAATATGAGCCAGACTGATGCTTTTCAACACCTTATTGGTTTTTGTGTTGCGCAAAACAACCTGGTGATCTGTAAGGCTAACAACAACATAACCATTAAGCCAATCTGGCGTCATTCGATCACCCTTTCGGCCTCCAAGCTTCTTAGGATTAGCCTTCATGACTGCTTGCCCAACATGAAACTTGTACGCCTTATAACCTTTCATCTTTTTCATTTTATAATATTTTTTTTTGCTTTTCTTTCGCATTGATGTTATTGGCAGTAACCTATGGAGCAAACATTTTTGTTCACAACTGTGTCCAGTAGCAGGACAATATTGGCATGAAACAAACTACTATACCACAAATTGTTACAACATACCTTAGCTTCCATCACACTCAGCTGTTCCTGCTTGGAACTTACATAATCAGCCACTTCATTAGGGGTTGGTGCTTTCAAAATGATAGGAGCAGGCGCATCATCCTCCTTTTCCACAGGCAACTCTGATGGAAAACGTGGCTTCCTTATTTGCATGATCTCATATGGAGTGTGTTTAGTTGATTCGTTAAATGATGAACGGACACCCAGCATGCTTGTTCAATATAAAGGTGCCAATCATCCTGCTGTTCATTGACCATCTACAAATAGAGTACAGAATGATATAAAGTAGTTTAAGTTCCATGCAGCACTGGTGGTCTACAGATAATGATTTATTACATGAAGTCAAGAATAAAAAAAAAACTAACCTAGAATAAAAAAATAAGATAACCTAGACTTTCTACCTTTGAAAGGTGACGCTTAAGAGTTCCATTAGTGCGCTCATCTTGACCATTTGTTTGGGGGTGATAGGCAGCTGTGACAAGATGGCGGATGTTAAATTTTTTGAACATTAATTCGTTCAGCAGCTGAAAATAAATTAAGGTTATACAGATTAGGTTTGCTAATATTAAGCTATCAGGAAGATGTTAAGTGGTGAGCACTTTTACAATGTTTGAAATACTCAGTTGGGATAATGTATCTCCATACCTTGTTGTTAAACTCTGTACCTTGGTCACTTAAAATCTTAAGTGGTGCACCCCAACGATGTATCCACTTCACTAACACCTGGTACACACACTCTGCTGATTTTGCCTTGATTGGCTCGGCTTATACCCACTTGGAAAAGAGACATGTCCCTGACATGATGTAAAAACCTGTGGATGTCTCCTTGAATGGACCAATAAGATCGATACCAACAAGCTCCCAGGGCTGTTTGGCCTGTGAGTAGAAAATATCTTATCTATGATCAAATCATGCCCACATGGAAAATAAGATAGCAGCAGTAATTGAAATACACATGGGTTCAAAGCTTATTAGATTTAAGATTAGCTATAAAGTCTCATTTGTTTTGAAGCAGGGATAAGACTTTATGCTCATTAAATCATGTAATTTTTATGAGACTTACATATATTGGTGTCAGTTCAGGAACCATTGTCTTTATCTTTTGCACTTTTTGACACTGAGTGCATGTGGCAATCTAAAAAAACAGCAGGATTTTAAAAAACAAGCATATTTTACCCTCATTTTTATAACCTAGGAGAATCTCATCTACACTTACAAACTCCTTTACATCTTCTGTGATGGTTCTCCAATAGAACCGCTCTGTGATGTTTGCCTGTGTGCGCTTCTCTCCCATGTGCCCACCTGTTGTCCCATTGCCATGGATATCATTGAGCACACGTTCAATCTGGAACAAAATTTATCACATCAATGAACCAAGTGCTGTCTCATAATGTTCATATTCAACTATTAAACTATATACAATAATAATTACATGTTTATGCTTACTATATTGTCTTTGTCATGCAATTACTATATTCAGAATATATAAAATTAATACATATATTACATGATATATACTAACCTCATCTCTTGTAAATAGCACTTTAACCTTTTTCGTATTCAAATGATTTTTTCCTTGCTTACCCACATAGTACAAAGTGTCACTAAAATCTGATTGAATAATGTGTGGTTCAAACATTGGCATGTGTGTAAGTTTTCAGATTCATTAATGAATGTGTACATATAAAGGGTTAATATATAAAAAATAAATAGATAAATTTAACTTATAGTTAATAGCGCCAAAGTAGTTAATAGCGCCTAGCCTCCACCACAGGTCTCTCTGTCTCAGCATTTGAAATCGAAAAATAATTTGTCTTACTCTAAGACACTGAGGAACAATCATAGACCATATAATATAGAGATCTGTAGAGGAAGCTAAGAGTTACCCCTGTTGTTTAACTTACAGCTTCTATTTATAGATGAACAGCTTGCCAAAAGATACCAAGCCAAATTATATCAAATAAAGATAAAATAAATTCCACTCAAGCCAAATGAATAATAAGAGGTATAAAACAAGTAAACAATAAAATTTATAAGATCATATCACACATTATTATGATACGATGTTTCACTGCAAAGTTATTAAATGCCTAGACATACCTTCATATTTAAAGTTTCTCGAGGATTGGGAGAGCGTGTGTATATTTTTTCTCCTTGCGACTTTGTCCAGAGTGGCAAAATGAGTTGGTGCCTGGCGTCCTGATTTAAGGAAGTGCAGCACATCTTCCACTGAAGCCTAAGTCATTAAAGTTATAGTGTTAATACATGGCCAAAACAACGGCAAATTCATAGGTATTAATAACAACTAATATCTTGGTTATGATCACAATAATTTCATCATTACGCTAAAACAACAGTCCGAATATCGGTATCAGATCGAAGTCATCGAACATTTGAATTCGAATTAAACAGAGTTTGCACGACAATGACATACCTTATATTTACAGATTTCCGAGTCAGGTTTCTTTCCTTTCACGTCAGAACAGCAAGCTGATTCCGTTGTTGGATTTGCACCCATTTAAGTAACAAAAATACTTCGAAAAATCTTTCTTTCAGACAAGTCAGAGAACACGTGTTGAACAGTAAACAAGTTGCGAAATTTATGAGCACAATGTAATTTATGCGCGCATTTGCGCTTGCGCATGCCCAGAACCGCGACACTCATATATTTCGCAAGTCATAAATTTCGCGTGACACCGGATCGAAAACGTACAAAACACAAAAAACAAAACAAAACAAAACACCGACGGCAATTTAAGACTGCGTTCGCGCAGTGCGCGACGCAGTAATTAATACCTACTGTTAATACCTGTTAGCGAGAACACTGTCAATGACGTCAATATGTAGGTCAATATGTGCTATATCAAGTTCTAACTTTTATTTTGGAATTGTTTTGAAATAGGCTGGTTTATATTATGATTTCGCGAGTAAATTTGGTATGAAGAAAAAAGATTTATAAATGTTCAATTGCCCAAAGGATTTGTAGATTGCACTCGGCAAAAACGAATCATCTGAAAATAGCCATTTTACAGTGTCATGAATACCAATTTCCCCGGTGTTGGATAGACCCGGGAGTGTTTTTCCCGTTCTCAAGGGTAAAGTGATGTTTTGCTACTATTCAAATGAAGCCAAACATTTACATGAAATCCTTGAACAAAGACAAATATAGCATATTTCAAAAACAAATATCCATGTTACCAAAAAATGTTTTATTTTGTTAAACATGTGCTACTGCTCAGGGCCTGTATTTTCGCTAGGCGGAATTTTGCGCCCAAACAATATTTTCCGCGCGAAAACTGAAAAGTACAATCACTGAGCTATATTAAATTCCTGGAGGCCCCTGGAGGACCAGCTCGTCATTTTTCGGTAACTTCGCCGTTATCTTTTTGTCATCAAAAACAGGGCGGACTTCGCCCTTTTGCACAACCGCAGAAGCTCTGCTGACGCCACATGGTTCCTTTTGCCCATGGTAGTTATAACTGACCGGGCTCAATTGTGAGCCCGCTACAGCAGTATTCTCCCTCCTGGATTTAGTAATGAATTTAGTAAACAACAGGTTCTCCCTCTTGGTTTTTATGATTTTTTTTGCAGTGAAATCTTTTTGTTTTGTTTTTTCGTTATATTTTCCGGCCTAGCCTGCAATAAAGTGTTTCTTTTGAAGATGAATGCAAGTCGTAGACGCTGCTTTTGCCAATGCGAAAACAAATATATAGTAAAACGTCAAAAAATGTGGACAAAACTAAAGATTTTCATACTGACAATAACTGACAGGTTTATTTTTATTTTCTTAATCATATTTTCATTATTTATACATTCCTATATGAAATTTAACAAATTCTTGAACTTTTTGGCACTATTGTCGGATATTTTAAGGACAAATGGATATTTATGGACATCAATTAGGCTTTTCGGAACCCTGAACTGCAGAAATATTACCAAAAGTATGCAATTATTATTGATATCCTCTTGAATGTCTCCAGGACTTTATATCTATGCTGACCAATCTTGCTAACTATGCATAATCCAAGGAACTGAGAAAGCTGAGGCAAGATGCTGGGCAGCTGACTAATGCTAAGTGCAGCTTGTACCTCAATGGGCTATAAAAGTTTTCAATTGTCTAATAGCACCCCTGGCCATAGTAATGAATAGTTAATTCCTGCATAGACTCATTATTCCTAATAATTAAAAATAGCCCCTTGGAAGTTGATACTATATAAACAGAAAATTATAAAAGTGGGTGCTGATTGAAAACACACTGCTCATGCAGTCAATGCATTTTTATATTTATTTTTTTCATAAATATAACCATTGTTATAAAAACACAAGCCAACAACAAATCAGTTAACATGGTAATTAAGAAAAACAATAATGCACATTCATAACAATGTGTATAATGTGCTATATACAATAATAATTTTCATCTCAGTTAAGATAATATATTAACTAGCCTTTAACAGTCACTATCAGATATTGAAATTTTACACTGTTTGCAGCAAAAATTACTTTTTTATCAGCACCCAGTCGGCACTTTTCTCAGTCAGATTATGTTAATTGATGAAGGGATCTTGTAGTCAACTCACTGGGGGAAAGGTTTACTTATTAACATTGATATTTGCTATCATGAAAACAACATAGACCAAACTCAAAAGATTGACACTGCCAGAAATTTAATTCCTTCCCCAGACAACAAGTCAAGAAAAATGATAAAGTTTGGGTATATAACATTGCACTGTAATGTACCAAAAAGGTCGAAAATAGTATATTTGCTGTTTGTACCATAAGTTTTGATGGATTTATTGGCTCAGAACCTTTGGTAATCAGTTTATAAAAAAGTCCAAAGGAAAAAAACAAAATTGTTAGAAACACCGGCTTACTTGGATGCTATAAAATAACAGCAAAATGAGAAAATTCACTCTCCCGATAAGTGAATTAAGACATTCACAACGTCAGACGTGGAGCACAAAGTTACGTCGCCTCTCCATTTGTTAAAGAGTGAAACAGAGGAACATTTTTATCTTTTTTATATTAAATACAAAAAATATATACCGAAAGCCGAAAATATTTCCATAAAAACCACGAGGGAGATGAACACAGTTTTTCACCTTGTATCGCGGTATGTCAGTGGTAATTACCATGAGCAAAAGGAACCATGTGCGTTTGTGGCGTCAGCAAAGCTCAAAATCCGCCATCTTTTTGGCGACACGATTTGGCCGCGAGCCGGTCCTCCAGGAATTTAATATAGCTCAGTGAGTACAATACTTTCAACTTTGTTGCGGGGAAAATGTCGCTATATATACGCGCGCAAAATTCTAGCTAATATTACCATTATTATTAATATTCCTGTTGTGATTCGTATGTTAAAAAATTTTTAAAACTAGCTATACAAGTTAAAAATTATAAAGGTAACTGTAAACGTAACATATGAACGAAAGATGAAAATATCTTACCTTGACTAGTCACAATAGAACAGAAGCTTTAAAATTTAACAAAAATTTGAAGACCCTGTCCATCCAAATCAAAAAGGCACATGGATATGAGCGAGTTTAAAATATGTGTTCTGCGCATAAAAAACGCGTACGACCACAATTTCTTGCGCTAAATAAAATTTAGTTCAGAACCCCCTCTCTGCACAAATCAGACTGCTGCTACGCTCGCTCGCTTCAGGCTCGCTCGCTCCGCAGAAATTATATCAGTGAATCAAGCAGCGTTCATGTTAACCTCAGAAACCTATTTTTTATTTGAAACACAAGTATTTTGTTAAAGTAAGGTACCAGTATTGCAAGCAATTATAAATGACGATATAAGGCGTTTATTGGCGCGGCACGCCGGGCTCGGCTAAAATTGGTACTAGAAAAGTCTCGAATCCAATTTTATTAGTGCTCGGGCTACGAATACAAAGGCGTAGCACCGATAAAACATTTTACAAAATTTACACACGATAATTAGATAACTATAGTTTTCATCCATTTAGACCCACAAAGAATACAATTGTTGTAAACTCTGAGTAAATTTCTCTTTCTCTTCTAAAGTCGAACAACAACTATTCCCAACGATATTCCCAACTTCACCACTGCCAGGCTGGTTGTTCTTAACGTTTATAATAGAAATGGATATAAAGCCAGAAACAAGTGGATATACAAGTGTCCGCAAATATGGTTCGAAACATCTTCGAGACGATGGAATAACTTTTCAGACTACAATGCGGCTTCCACCTTTTACATTAGTAATTGTGAAGTTTTTGGTTAAATATTGTGGTGCTGACTTAAGTTGTAAAGATGAGTCGGGCAAAACTGCTTTGCATCTTGCTGTTATTGGTGGTGAAACAGACTTTGTCAAATATTTTGTTGAACAATGTGGCGTTGATGTAAATGACAAGGAAAAAAAGGGCGGACAGCGCTGAACTACGCTGTTACTAAATATACGCCAGAAATTGTGAAAGTCTTGTTGAACATGGCGCTGATGTAAATGCGAAGGATAATAACGGGTGGACAGTTCTGCACCATGCTGTCACTAAAGGTGTACCAGAAATTGTAAAATATCTTGTTGAACATGGCGCTGATGTAAATGAGGTGAAAAATAACGGGTGGACTGTGCTGCACGATGCTGTTATTAAAGGTACGGTAGAAATTCCAAAATATCTTGTTGAACATGGCGCTGATGTAAATAGCAAGGATATTAACGGGTGTACAGTGTTGCACTATGCTGTTATTAAAGGCACGGTAGAAATAGTAAAATATCTTGTTGAATATGGGGCTGATGTAAATGGCAAGGATATTAACGGGTGTACAGTGTTGCACTATGCAGGTAATAGATTAGAAATTGTCAAGTATTTAGTTGAAAAGGGTGCTGACGTGACCTTCACACTCACAATCTTGGCATTACACCCTCATAATGGCTGTTGAGAGAAATTCAGTTGCTTTGATCAATCTTCTGTTGGAAAAGAACATCGCTGTGTGGAGAGCTGGACTATTTCGTGTTCAGGGAAGATATATGAGTCTTTTTGAATTGAGTATTCAGCATGGTCATGATGAAATTACAACTATCCTCAAAAGGTCCATAAATCATTGTAAAAAGATTCAGATGTTGAAAGCATGAATTGCAACCAGTTTAAAGAGGTAATGTTTCAAACATACCCGAGATATTTTTGAACGAGCCGTACAAGCTATACTTGATAATTCGAAATATGTCTGCAGGGGCGTAGGAACCGGGGGGGTTGGCGTCAGGGGCACGTGTGTCTCCAAAATTTTTCAAGGGACAAAAAGTGCCCTTTTTATTAACCAAACCTGGAAGCTGTGCCCCCCAATCTCTGGATGCTTCGTACGCCCCCGTCTATCTGCTAAAATATCATGCATGGCGGACTTTCTGTGAAGCTATCTCGGAATAGGGTTTCCATGGTAACGACTTCGTATAAAAAATGCCTCAGTATCTGAGCTTTGACTATTTGCCTTCACTGATAACAATGCTCAAATTGCTTTTGCTCCTAACTTTTCACAATAGATAATTTCTACTTTTTCGTCCATAGACTGAGACACCGATGCAGGCTTTTGTCGCAAATAATCGATTCAAAATTGGTGCTGGTGGTTTTTCTTGTGTCTATGTTGGTCTCACGAAGGATGGAAGTGAAGTTGCTGTTAAGAGAATTTTGGTGCAAAGTGAGGATGAAACAGTTGAAAACGAAAAGGAAATCATGAGTCTCATTGAAACAAACTCTCCATTTATAGTGAAATATCGACATTTTCACCGTGACGATACCTTCATGTATCTTATTGTTGATCTTTGCGAAGAAACCTTGAGGGAACTTGTTCATGCATGCAGTATTGAACATCTAAAAGAGCAAGGTCCACGAATGATTAGGGAAATTCTATCAGGACTAGAATTTCTTCATGGAAAGGAATATTGCACAGAGATCTAAAACCATCAAACGTCCTGGTTGATATCGAAGGTCGCATGAAATTGGCAGATTTTGGAATAAGTCGCGTTGTTAATGAAGATGAAACGACAGTTGAAACAGATGCAAAAGGTACTCGTGGATGGATGCCACCAGAAGTAATTGAAGCAATAGTTAAAAAAGAAAAAAGTCGTTTTAAAAGAAAATCAGATGTCCATGTCGCGGGTATGATTGCTTTTTACGTGTTGACCAAAGGTGAGCATCCTTTTGGATCTGAATTAGATCGAATGAAAAATATTTTGGAGGATAATCCTGTCAATTTGGAGAAACTTGGTAATCGCACAGCTCTTAGGTTTGTGTCATGGCTGATTAATCACAAGATTGATGATAGACCTTACGCTGACGAAACACTGGAAGATTTCTTTTTTAGCAACTCCGCAAGGAACATAGCGAGCAATTAGACAACAGCCTCGACGTTTGTTTGAAATGACGAATCCTTCCTAGCCCAAGTTTGTCCATGAAGGAAAAATAATTAGCGAGGTTGTTTTATCGCACCCATTGGGCGTTGCATATTTTTTACACGTGAAATATCCTTGTTATAAAGTGCTTAACACAACGTGTTGTTTGTTTAGGTAGAATATAAATATTACTACAGTCTCAATATATTGTACACTTTTTCAAAGAAATTATTCATAACTGAGGGGCTGTTCACATGAACCAGGTTACCGAGATAAATTTAAAAAAGGTGTTTGGATTATCGAGAACTAGCCATTTCCAGCTGATCTGAGATCATGACGTCATAAATCGTCTCTACAAAACTAGTTATCATACGCCTGGTGTTATTTGTCCCTATTCGTCTAACTAATAGTATAAAGGGTGAAAAATTTAAATTCTAATTTACAGTTGAGAAAAAATGTTTCAGAAACTGATCATTGATGAAAAACCTTTCTTTCTGTTTGAACAAAATAAAGATTCCTGTGATTTTCCACTGGATCGCACCTCATGTTCAAGAGTTCATTCTGCTTTAGTCTTTCATAAACATTCAAACAGACCATTTTTATTGATCTAAAAAGCAGTAAGTGCAATGTTTTGATTTGAAGTTAAACTTAAATAAGTTTACCAGGCTCTCTCTGTACCCTGAGACAAACTGACATCCCAGCTAGACTGTAACATATTTACATGAATAATTCTGGTGTAATTAAATATATCTTATTGTCTGAAAAACTGGATTGGCACCAGTCAGAATTTTTTGTGAGAAATTTGACCCAAATGACTTTACTCTCCAAACATCATAAAGTAGGAATATAAAATTAGTTATGTATCTTGATGTGGATGCATTTTTCAAAACTAGTGCTAAATATTTTCACCCAAAATCATGAAAATGAACGCAAATAGTAATGCAAACTGTATTCCGAAAATGCTTTAAAATGCAAAGAATTTTAAACCATTTTTAACCATTGTATGACAGAAATTATTGTATGACAATAATTTTGACGAAAATTGGATTGTCTCTGGTCTGCCCTTACACACTTGCATAGCAATCGGAGGGTGGGTGAAGGTGCAATCCTACCGCACTTTACTTCCTGGTTAAATTTCTCATTCTTGGAAAACTCGGAAAATTGCATGATAGAGAGTGTATGCAATGAAATTTTGCAGTAAGCCATCACTTCACCTTTATACCCCCCTCATTCTTTTTCAGCTGTGATGGCATAGTAATAGGAGGGTGGGTGAGGGTGAAACCCTCCCCAGCTTTTCTTCAAGATCATATTTCTTACACTTCAAAGACCTGAAAGATAAAGGGCAACGGGGTCTATCCGATGAAATGTTTTGCCTTCAGCCATCATTCCCCAGCTTCACCCTCCCCCTTACTTGTTTTGGGAAAAACAACATTACCAAGCGCTATGCAGCGACAATGCATGGTAATAGTGAACAAAATGTGGATAGAGAGGATTATGAGGATAACGAAGGTTCAACGGGGATTTTTGGGATTGCCGGAGTCGATACTGATCTTAAGGTGAGTTCCGTTCTTTTTTACGATTTCTTTGATCAAAATGTATGTATATAAGTAAATTTCCGTGAAGTGCACAAAACTTTCGTAATTGCCAAATTTACATCTCTGAAAAGTTGAATCGGATCGCAAGTTTCATGATTGCAAAATTGCAGCGTTCAACGTGATATAAGGGTTGTTTAATACCACTTCGATCTTAACCTATCGTATTATTTCCTTCCTGGGCACTCGGCTTGAACTAGTGACTTTAAAACAATGGGTTATATTACGGTACCGTTTGAAGTAGAGAACAGCTCTAAGAGTTTGTAAGGGAATGCAAACCGTAACAGTGTGAACCCATAACCAACTTCTACCATCAGAGTACTCTGTGAAAGTTCCGATATAACCAGGGAGCAGCGTGGCATTGTCTTCAAACAACTTAGCATCAAATGTGGTATAACAACTGCCTAAAATAGACAAAACACTTCTCGACATTTCGACCTGAGGGCCTTCTTCAGGAGAGTTAGTATGACTAACTGTTTACAACTACATATTCAATGCCTAATATTCAAGTAGACTCACTCTTACATCTCTCAAAGTCAGACTCAGAGAGATGTAAGAGTGTGACAGTTATTTAATTTTGACTTATCCACCGTTTAAGCTAAATGGGCTTGATACAACCGGCCCCAGTACCACTCAGTTTATAGCTAATGTAAGGAACGATGAAGTTTCACTCAGTGCCCTGTTACACAACAGGCAGCCCGGTCACTGCTGTTACGTCATGCTATTATATATGTATATAATTACAATAAGGCTGGCAACTCTCTCGCAAAAAATATATTACATACATTAATACCATCGCTTAAAACAAAAATACTACGCTCGTTTCTTAAAAAAAACCCAGATACAAAACACCTTGGATATATTGACTATATTTATCTGTCGTTTTTAGATTTTTGCGTCAAATTTTGCGAATTAAAGGTGTATTTTCGTTGAAATTTTGCGAAACAGAGGCGGGATGCAATTTACTTGACAAACGTCATCATCGGAGAATTCGTCGGCAAATTTCTGATTGGCTGCGGCAAGTTCGGAAAATAACGAAGATCTTTTTTTTTCATTGAGTTGGCCTTCGTTATTTTTCCTGTGGCTACACGGTGGAATTTTTTATGCAACTTGCAATGCATTTATACTTTTGAGAGATGTAGATTACCGATCAATCCACAAAATGTAAGTCTAAGAAACCTACACGGATCTAAGAAATTTACACGGAAGTTTCGTCGTTACCAAATTTACATCTCTCAAAAGTAGGATTGTATTGCAGGTTGCACTGTGTAACCGGGCCTTTACAGACCTTGAAACATGATAGTAAATGGCAAGAGAATTGACGCGTTGACAGTCTTGCACTTTGCAGTTAAAAAAGGTACACTAGAAATAGTAGAATATCTCGTTGAACAAGGCGCTGATGTAAATGGAAAAAAGACTAACAGGTGGACAGTCTTGCACTCCGCTGTTAAAAATGGTACGGTAGAAATAGTGGAATATCTTGTCGAAAAAGGCGCTGATGTAAATGGCAAGAAAAATGACGGCTGGTGTGTGATGCACGCTGCTGTTGCTAAAGTTGCGATAGACGTACTAGAAATAGTAAAATATCTTCTTGAAAATGGAGCCGATGTAAACGGAAAAGATACTAACGGATCGACAGTGCTGCACAGTGCTGTTGCTGGAGGTACGCTAGAAATAGTGAAATATCTTGTTGAAAATGGAGCTGATGTACATGCAAAAGATACTGACGGATGGAAAGTACTGCACACTGCTGTTACCCAAGGTAGGCTAGAATTAGTAAAATGTCTTGTTATTAAACATGGTGCTGACGTAACTCTTAAAAGTAAACGCAGTGTTCATACTCTTGGCATTGACATCCTGATTATGGCTGTTGAGAAAAATTCAGTTGCTTTGGTCAATCTTCTGTTGGAAAAGAACATCGCTGTGTGGAGAGCTGGAACATTTCTTGTTGAAGGAAGACAAATGAGTCTTCTTGAATGGAGTATTCACCTTGGTCATGATGAACTTACAACTATCCGGCTCAAAGGGTCCGTAAATCATCGTGAGAAGATTCAGATGTTGAAAACAATGAATTGCAACAAGTTAGAAGAGGTAAATATTTTTTAAATATATAAAATGTTGTTTCAGTGAGTTTAGGTAGTAACCAAGGTTAATAGGAGGTTTACGATCCACGACGTGGTAAGACGACAGCGCGCATTTGGATTCGTCCCAGTTTAACCAGGCTCTTGTGATGTGTGAATACTGTTACAGATTTATTGCCTTCATTTATTTAAAGATGAGGTAAAGTCCGTTCCGCGCATATATTCCGCGCAGCAACACATTGCATCAGTGGGGGAGCAACTTTTGGAATGTTAATGATATGCGATATTAGCGCGTTATGTTACAAACGGACAGTTCGGGAGCACAATTATTTTATTCTATGTCGCAAGGCGAAGACGCTCGAATTGCGAGTGACGAAGATAAGGCTGCTAGAAAAAAGCAATATTATGCTGAAAGAAATGCTCCAAGAATTTATTTGTTGAATGAGAACGCGAGATGGCGAGGCTATTTGTCGTCGCTAAAGACGCTACCTTCTCGCTTGTCCTACAATTACAAATATATAAAAGTTTTAAATAACGGCCGGTTTATCTACAAGCTCCGCTTTATAAAGCTTCGCTTTATATTTTCTTCAAAATAGAATAATATTTACTTCAAAATATAAAAATATTTTCTTCAAAATATAATAAAAAATAAGTATATTCGTCGCAGATCACAGCCGGACGAGCGAGAAGAAAATAAGAAAATTAAAACGACACAATCGGACAGATACCTCATGTAAAGATTATATAACCAACGTAAACAAACATTGTTATGCGCAGAATATATGCTCAGATCGGACTTTACATCATCTTTAAACACTCGAGGGGACAGTCCAAGTTTGTCCTTAAAAGGGAAACTTATAGCGACAAAAATTGGACGCAAGGGCGACAGAATCAGTCGCATCAGGCGACAATAAAGCAATGCTGAACGCGGCCGGCGTGGATTTGCATTTCGTAGAAGGTCGGTAGCAACTTTGATTGTCGGTAGCATCATTTACAGCTTCGGAAGTCGCCGTGCACTTCGCGACACTTTCTGAATAAAAAATCGACATGAAGGTATTTTAATTATTTGCGAATTTTCTCTATCGACGTGATTCTCAATCCTATTTCAATCATCGTGATAATAGTTTAGCAGAATGTGCTGTAGTTCTTATTAATAAATTGAAACAGGGCGTCTATAAGATAGGGCGGCGAAACGCACGGATGGCGTGTTGAAACATGTGTGATGCGATTTTAGGACTGGGACGGGGCGGTCGGCGAAAAATTCTCGAACAAAACAATATTTACTTGGTTTTTAACAAGCTCGATAAAACCACTCAATCTCTAAAACTATTAACGTGATATTCACTATTAACGAATTCAAAATATGATATGTTTTTCTTTCGTCATGGCAATGTCGACCTGGCCAAGCTAAAAACAAAACAAGAGAATGCTAACTTACTTGCAAGAGCATTTGACCGCGTCACAACAACGTTTTCGAATTTTCAAAATACAAAATTTCCATTAAAAAATTAAAAACCTTGCCATAGCTCCTAAAGCTGGGAAATTTAGAAAATAACTCCCTTGTTCATTAACATCGATTCCACGTGCAAATGGTCGCATAATGTTTTGAACCTTTTTCACAATTTTCTCTGGAAAACGACAACCATAAAACGGAACCATGTTTACAAACTTGTCTTGGTAACCAGCGGGCTGGGACGAGTATAAAAAACACGAAGAAACCCTTTTAAGAACAGCAATTAACTCCTTTACGTTGAAATTAACAGTATTTCCAACTGGGAATGACGAATTTGTGTCATCTGTTGCCAGATCAGTGTCATCCAAACTAATAATCATCTCAACTCTCAAGTTCTTCGTCTTCAAAGTAACCCGCCGCCATTTTGAAAACAGTTTTTCGAATCTTCATGGGGGGTCCGCACATCACACATGTTTCAACACGCCATCCGAGCGTTTCGCCGCCCTATCTTATAGGCGCCCTGATTGAAATTAGCTCCAGTTAGAATAAAATATATATTTCTTACACTTAGAATATCCTCAACACAACGTGTGGTTGGTTCAGGTAGAACCTCAATATCACAGTCTTCAATATGTTGTACACTATTTGAAAGAAAATTTCATAACTGAAGGGCTGTTCACATGAGCCGGGTTACCAAGATGACTTTAAAAAAGCTGTTTGGACAATGGAGAACTAACTAGCTATAGGCATTTGTCATAACGTCTTTAAAATTATAGGATTATTATATTTGTTCGTTGCGAGAACGATTTTGCTAGGCACTAACTTTAGTATGCCCAGATTTAATTGACGCTGTATCGCCTGCGACATGACTTATGCTGTATGGAAGGTCTTGAGATAGAGCTAGAAGCAATAAAGACTCGGTGATTTTTTTATTTACACTTCTTTTGCTGACGAAAATGAAAAATATATAATCGAAGTAGCTACGTAGAATCTTTGTGGTGTTTAGATGCTCCATGCAGGTTTAATCTGTAACTCGAGCTGCAAAGCGAAATTGGATCTTACTGGTTTATTGACTATTGTGAAATACCACAGACAATAGTTGATTTTGATGACAAAGATTTTTATCCAATCTATTTCTTTCATTTTCGATGCTGTATCGGCACTGTTTATTATGATGTATAGAACATAAACCATTGAAAGTGGGTAAGTAGATTATAATCACAATGATTTGCTTCAGCACTGCAGAAATCAGAAGCGACTAAAAATCATGTTATGATCGAGACGAGAAGCATATATTTGTGCAAGGTTTGTGCGTCACATTCCCGTGTGATTGCCACACTACACAAATATTACTAGGTTACCTGCACGGTAAGGATTGCTGCGAACATTTTAGGGTCAAAGTGAACTGTTATGTGAAATGTTAGTAAACTAAATCCGTTTTAAATAATAGTAATAGCAGGTTTAAAACACGTAAAGTGAACCTCTATTGAGCGTTAACTCGCTGGGGCTGTACATGAACAAGACGCCAATTCTGGCGGTTACTGCGTCGCGCCAATCGTTGCATGCAACTGTGCCCCATTTCCTGTCAATATTTATTCCTTTAGAAAAATGTTTCTTTCTTAGGGTTTCTAGTAAATAGAGCACTTCGTACAGAATATAGGGGTAAAATTGTATTCTTGGTGCTAGGCATATATAGCTAATAACAATATACGTGAATAAGGCTGAGTTTGGAATCATGTACTCTGGGAATCAGTTTGTACTGAAATTCAATAGGATCGGTCTGGCCGTTTTTACCCTTGAAAGGAAGGTGCGGTTTGATTGAAAAATGGCATAGAATGGCATACAAGGCTTTCATAGCATACAAGGCTTTCATGGCATACAAGGCTTTCATGATTCATGTGATCGTTGTCTGTAAACCCGTTTTAGTGTAGGTTTACCATGATCAGTGTGTGCTAGTGTATGCAGAGTGAGCATATCAAACAAGACAAGACGAGAATCCAGCATTATGATTACCTGTACGTATTTTCTCGAACGACAGACGTCTAGATTTCCTGCGCTATCGGCTATGCACAGCGACTCGTGTACGTGTTATTTTATATGACGTGTATCGTGCATGCAGTTTCCTGCTTTTGGTTCGCACGACCCGAGTTCGAATCCCGGCGACAACAAACTTTTTCAATTTTTTGTTTCAGTAAAATATTTTTTTTGTGGGGGTTACTAGGTTTAGGTTACTATTTGAAGTGTGTTTAGCACGAAAATATTTCGATACGAAATCAAACGAGTTCAAAATACGAGTATCTTAGTTGGCCTGCGCGGCCAGGAAGACCGGTGTCAAGCGAAATTTATGACCATTGCGAAATACATGACCACGCGTGAGGAGTCACGAATTTCGCGGCTTACACGCGCGAAAAACATGACGATTGCGAAATCTATGATTTCGGCGGCCGAGTGCGACTGTTTTGTTTTGGCTAATTTTGATCAAAATTTTAGTAAGTTTTAGTAATTAATCGAGAATGAGTGTAAAACAAAGATTCACTAGGACAGATAAAACTTCATTGAAGGCTATTTACATCGCTAAAATACTTTAGATTATCGAATTTGAACAAGTATAAACGGCATGTTTTATACGATATTAACCCAGTCCAACTGTCCAAGGTTTACAATCTTGTTAAGAACTTGACTTTGACTTGTCAAGTTCTAGCAAGACCTTACACAAGATCCTGCCAAGATCTTTCTAAGACCTTTTTAAATCATGCAAGATATTTGTCATGATTTTACCATGTCCATGATCATTCATGCAGGATCCTGCAAGATGTTTGTCATGATCCCGCAAGCTGCAAGATCCATGATCAAAATTTTTTCCATGATCATGCAGAATATTGGAAGATTTTGCCATGATCTTGCAGAATCGTGGAAAACGTTTGCTATTATCTTGATTACCCAACTACTTTAATACCCAACCACAGTAGTGCGCAGTATTATATTATCTAACCAGGGTCTTCGTTGCGCTGTACCCCCTCCATGAACACAGAAGAGTATTAGAGTGCTAGAGTCAGTTGGGTAATGAAGTAGTTTTCATAGGGTGGTTAGATCATAAATTACTGGGTAATAGAGTGGTTGAATTGAGTGGTTGGGTACTAGAGTCAGTTGGGTGATGAAGTAGTTGGTTAATAGGGTGGTTAGATTGTAAATTACTGGGTACTAGAGTCAGTTGGTTAATGAAGTAGTTTTCATAGGGTGGTTAGATAATAATTTACTGGGTAATAGAGTGGTTGAATTGAGTGGTTGGGTACTAGAGTCAGTTGGGTGATGAAGTAGTTGGTTAATAGGGTGGTTAGATTGTAAATTACTGGGTACTAGAGTGGTTGGGTAATAGAGTCAGTTGGGTAATGAAGTAGTTGGTTAATAGGGTGGTTAGATTATAAATTACTGGGTACTAGAGTGGTTGGGTACTAGAGTCAGTTGGGTAATGAAGTAGTTTTCATAGGGTGGTTAGATCATAAATTACTGGGTACTAGAGTCAGTTGGGTAATGAAATAGTTGGTTAATAGGGTGGTTATTTCATGAAATACTGGGTACTATAAAGGTACATTGCTTCATTTAATTTCTGACAAGATAATTTGTACAGTTTTACCTCATTTACATCATTATTTACAACTTATTTACATCATTGAAATTTACAAAATTTACATCTTATTTACATATGCACCTTGCAACATCAGCAATAAAATTTTCCTGTAAGTGCAGTTGCGAAGTCCACACCTCTGCAACTGGCATGGAAAATTGGTAACAACGGTCACACCCAAGCCAGTCTTCCCCATCATCCTTCCTGCAAATTTTGCAAACGCCCGTATTTCTCTCAACAACACTGCGAAAAAAATTCCAAACCGTAGTTAAGCAACTAGTTGTAAACTGTTGATGGAAGGGCTGGCAGCACATTTGAGTATAGTCAATTTTTAATTACAATTTACCTGCCTACATCATCATAACAGGAACCACAAATAGAAGAGAGTATGTTTTTTCTCTCTTTCTCTGGGTCTATTTGTTCCGTCAGGTCCAAACCTTCAACCAAACAGCGTGCAAACTATACAACATAATATAGGTGGAGCAAAATTTTAGATACATAATTACAACAACTGCATATATTTGCTCAATTTCTAAAACTGATTGTAAAAAACATGGTAAAAACTTACAAAACAAACATATACTCCACAGTTATGGCTATCATGCTGCATGCAATGTTGGGGATGGAGGCATGGCCACCTCTTTGTCTTCCATCCAGTCTTGACATCAACCAATTCGCTATGAAATATAATGAAATGGGTATACTAATGTAAACTCATAAAATGCAAAAGAAATTTGACATATTGCATAATAATAATAAAATTTTTGTACCTCAGTTTTTTAATATGACCCATTAAGCCAGAGGGCTTTCCAGTTTTGAGTAGATCAATGTAAATTTTTCTTTTACCAACTTTGTCAAAAACCTGGGGAAGATATATCAGAATTTGATCAAGTCCAGGATCAGGAAAAGGAGGGGTTTTGCTAGGTCAACTTTATACTCACCAATAGGGTCCAGTGATTTCCATTCAAGTTGATTGGGAAAAGAATCATCCTGCTTAGGGAAAAATTCTTGTCCGACCAAGTACGTCGTGTGCTAGAATTACGATGCACGAGCTGTGAAATGTAGCATTCAGCTGCAAGGACATCTCCACCATTTCTACGCTCTGCCAAACCACTTAAGTAGGCATCGATGACCTATACATGTAAAAATGACTATATAAACAAAGATGTCCTAAAAACAGATTTCCATCACATTTTGACTACTTTATCTAAGGTAAAGAGTAACCCTCCTCTGAAAACAGAAGTAACAGAAATGACAGAAATAAAGACTTCTTACCATATCAGTTAACCAACCAGGCATAAAATCAGGAACTTCGCTTTTTAATGTTTTGAATTGGCAAGTGGAAACTTCTTGCGGTGGGATAAGGGACCAAATATCTCTTCCAGTCAGTTTAGCTGTACCAAAATCAAGGTAGGGAAAACTTAAAGGTATTCCTTTTATGCCCAATTGCTGTAAATGGTGAACTTCGCCAGCAAAGCTCAGTGAAGCAAGAGTTTTTACCTCATTACCAGCACCACGAACCTGGTCATTGGACCTCTCAAACTCTGCAACCTCAACATCCACAACCCCTTCACTAACACATGCAACTTTATCATCCACAACCTCTTCGCCAACACCTGCAACTTTATCATCCACAACCTCTTCACCAACACCTGGAACCTCAACGTCCGCAACCTCTTCACCAACACCTGGAACCTCAACGTCTGCAACCTCTTCACCAACACCTGGAACCTCAACGTCCGCAACCTCCTCACCACCACCTACAAACTCAACACCTGCAATGTCTCCTCCACCAACACCTGGAACCTCAACACATGTAACCTCCTCACCACCACCTGCAACCTCAGCTTCTGCAACTGCCATACCAACACCTGCTACCTTATTTTCAACATCTGTATCAGCACCTCTCTCCCGAAATGGTTTAATATGAGCCAGACTGATGCTTTTCAGCACCTTATTGGTTTTTGTGTTGCGCAAAACAACCTGGTGATCTGTAAGGCTAACAACAACATAACCATCAAGCCAATCTGGCGTCATTCGATCACCCTTTCGGCCTCCAAGCTTCTTAGGATTAGCCTTCATGACTGCTTGCCCAACATGAAACTTGTACGCCTTATAACCTTTCATCTTTTTCATTTTATAATATTTTTTTTGCTTTTCTTTCGCATTGATGTTATTGGCAGTAACCTATGGAGCAAACATTTTTGTTCACAACTGTGTCCAGTAGCAGGACAATATTGGCATGAAACAAACTACTATACCACAAATTGTTACAACATACCTTAGCTTCCATCACACTCAGCTGTTCCTGCTTGGAACTTACATAATCAGCCACTTCATTAGGGGTTGGTGCTTTCAAAATGATAGGAGCAGGCGCATCATCCTCCTTTTCCACAGGCAACTCTGATGGAAAACGTGGCTTCCTTATGTGCATGATCTCATATGGAGTGTGTTTAGTTGATTCGTTAAATGATGAACGGACACCCCAGCATGCTTGTTCAATATAAAGGTGCCAATCATCCTGCTGTTCATTGACCATCTACAAATAGAGTACAGAATGATATAAAGTAGTTTAAGTTCCATGCAGCACTGGTGGTCTACAGATAATGATTTATTACATGAAGTCAAGAATAAAAAAAAACTAACCTAGAATAAAAAAATAAGATAACCTAGACTTTCTACCTTTGAAAGGTGACGCTTAAGAGTTCCATTAGTGCGCTCATCTTGACCATTTGTTTGGGGGTGATAGGCAGCTGTGACAAGATGGCGGATGTTAAATTTTTTGAACATTAATTCGTTCAGCAGCTGAAAATAAATTAAGGTTATACAGATTAGGTTTGCTAATATTAAGCTATCAGGAAGATGTTAAGTGGTGAGCACTTTTACAATGTTTGAAATACTCAGTTGGGGTAATGTATCTCCATACCTTGTTGTTAAACTCTGTACCTTGGTCACTTAAAACCTTAAGTGGTGCACCCCAACGATGTATCCACTTCACTAACACCTGGTACACACACTCTGCTGATTTTGCCTTGATTGGCTCGGCTTATACCCACTTGGAAAAGAGACATGTCCCTGACATGATGTATTTAAAACCTGTGGATGTCTCCTTGAATGGACCAATAAGATCGATACCAACAAGCTCCCAGGGCTGTTTGGCCTGTGAGTAGAAAATATCTTATCTATGATCAAATCATGCCCACATGGAAAATAAGATAGCAGCAGTAATTGAAATACACATGGGTTTCAAAGCTTATTAGATTTAAGATTAGCTATAAAGTCTCATTTGTTTTGAAGCAGGGATAAGACTTTATGCTCATTAAATCATGTAATTTTTATGAGACTTACATATATTGGTGTCAGTTCAGGAACCATTGTCTTTATCTTTTGCACTTTTTGACACTGAGTGCATGTGGCAATCTAAAAAAACAGCAGGATTTTAAAAAACAAGCATATTTTACCCTCATTTTTATAACCTAGGAGAATCTCATCTACACTTACAAACTCCTTTACATCTTCTGTGATGGTTCTCCAGTAGAACCACTCTGTGATGTACTTTGCCTGTGTGCGCTTCTCTCCCATGTGCCCACCGGTTGTCCCATTGCTATGAATATCATTAGCACAAGTTCAATCTGGAACAAAATTTATCACACAATCAATGAACCAAGTGCTATCTCATAATGTTCATATTCAACTATTAAACTATATACAATAATATTTACATGTTTATGCTTACTATATTGTCTTTGTCATGCAATTACTATATTCAGAATATATAAAACAATACATGTATTACATGATATATATTAACCTCATCTCTTGTAAATAGCACTTTAACCTTTTTCGTATTCAAATGATTTTTTCCTTGCTTACCCACATAGTACAAAGTGTCACTAAAATCTGATTGAATAATGTGTGGTTCAAACATTGGCATGTGTGTAAGTTTTCAGATTCATTAATGAATGTGTACATATAAAGGGTTAATATATAAAAAATAAATAGATAAATTTAACTTATAGTTAATAGCGCCAAAGTAGTTAATAGCGCCTAGCCTCCACCACAGGTTCTCTGTCTCAGCATTTGAAATTGAAAAATAATTTGTCTTACTCTAAGACACAGAGGAACAGTCATAGACCATATAATATTGAGATCTGTAGAGGAAGTTAAGGGTTACCCCTGTTGTTTAACTTACAGCTTCTATTTATAGATGAACAGCTTGCCAAAAGATACCAAGCCAAATTATATGAAATGAAGATAAAATAAATTCCACTCAAGGCAAATGAATAATAAGAGGTATAAAACAAGTAAACAAATAAAATTTATAAGATCATATCACACATTATTATGATACGATGTTTCACTGCAAAGTTATTAAATGCCTAGACATACCTTCATATTTAAAGTTTCTCGAGGATTGGGAGAGCGTGTGTATATTTTTTCTCCTTGCGACTTTGTCCAGAGTGGCAAAATGAGTTGGTGCCTGGCGTCCTGATTTAAGGAAGTGCAGCACATCTTCCACTGAAGCCTAAGTCATTAAAGTTATAGTGTTAATACATGGCCAAAACAACGGCAAATTCATAGGTATTAATAACAACTAATATCTTGGTTATGATCACAATAATTTCATCATTACGCTAAAACAACAGTCCGAATATCGGTATCAGATCGAAGTCATCGAACATTTGAATTCGAATTAAACAGAGTTTGCACGACAATGACATACCTTATATTTACAGATTTCCGAGTCAGGTTTCTTTCCTTTCACGTCAGAACAGCAAGCTGATTCCGTTGTTGGATTTGCACCCATTTAAGTAACAAAAATACTTCGAAAAATCTTTCTTTCAGACAAGTCAGAGAACACGTGTTGAACAGTAAACAAGTTGCGAAATTTATGAGCACAATGTAATTTATGCGCGCATTTGCGCTTGCGCATGCCCAGAACCGCGACACTCATATATTTCGCAAGTCATAAATTTCGCGTGACACCGGATCGAAAACGTACAAAACACAAAAAACAAAACAAAACAAAACACCGACGGCAATTTAAGACTGCGTTCGCGCAGTGCGCGACGCAGTAATTAATACCTACTGTTAATACCTGTTAGCGAGAACACTGTCAATGACGTCAATATGTAGGTCAATATGTGCTATATCAAGTTCTAACTTTTATTTTGGAATTGTTTTGAAATAGGCTGGTTTATATTATGATTTCGCGAGTAAATTTGGTATGAAGAAAAAAGATTTATAAATGTTCAATTGCCCAAAGGATTTGTAGATTGCACTCGGCAAAAACGAATCATCTGAAAATAGCCATTTTACAGTGTCATGAATACCAATTTCCCCGGTGTTGGATAGACCCGGGAGTGTTTTTCTCGTTCTCAAGGGTAAAGTGATGTTTTGCTACTATTCAAATGAAGCCAAACATTTACATGAAATCCTTGAACAAAGACAAATATAGCATATTCAAAAACAAATATCCATGTTACCAAAAAATGTTTTATTTTGTTAAACATGTGCTACTGCTCAGGGCCTGTATTTTCGCTAGGCGGAATTTTGCGCCCAAACAATATTTTCCGCGCGAAAACTGAAAAGTACAATCACTGAGCTATATTAAATTCCTGGAGGCCCCTGGAGGACCAGCTCGTCATTTTTCGGTAACTTCGCCGTTATCTTTTTGTCATCAAAAACAGGGCGGACTTCGCCCTTTTGCACAACCGCAGAAGCTCTGCTGACGCCACATGGTTCCTTTTGCCCATGGTAGTTATAACTGACCGGGCTCAATTGTGAGCCCGCTACAGCAGTATTCTCCCTCCTGGATTTAGTAATGAATTTAGTAAACAACAGGTTCTCCCTCTTGGTTTTTATGATTTTTTTTGCAGTGAAATCTTTTTGTTTTTTTTTTCGTTATATTTTCCGGCCTAGCCTGCAATAAAGTGTTTCTTTTGAAGATGAATGCAAGTCGTAGACGCTGCTTTTGCCAATGCGAAAACAAATATATAGTAAAACGTCAAAAAATGTGGACAAAACTAAAGATTTTCATACTGACAATAACTGACAGGTTTATTTTTTATTTTCTTAATCATATTTTCATTATTTATACATTCCTATATGAAATTTAACAAATTCTTGAACTTTTTGGCACTATTGTCGGATATTTTAAGGACAAATGGATATTTATGGACATCAATTAGGCTTTTCGGAACCCTGAACTGCAGAAATATTACCAAAAGTATGCAATTATTATTGATATCCTCTTGAATGTCTCCAGGACTTTATATCTATGCTGACCAATCTTGCTAACTATGCATAATCCAAGGAACTGAGAAAGCTGAGGCAAGATGCTGGGCAGCTGACTAATGCTAAGTGCAGCTTGTACCTCAATGGGCTATAAAAGTTTTCAATTGTCTAATAGCACCCCAGGCCATAGTAATGAATAGTATTAATTCCTGCATAGACTCATTATTCCTAATAATTAAACATAGCCCCTTGGAAGTTGATACTATATAAACAGAAAATTATAAAAGTGGGTGCTGATTGAAAACACACTGCTCATGCAGTCAATGCATTTTTATATTTATTTTTTTCATAAATATAACCATTGTTATAAAAACACAAGCCAACAACAAATCAGTTAACATGGTAATTAAGAAAAACAATAATGCACATTAATAACAATGTGTATAATGTGCTATATACAATAATAATTTTCATCTCAGTTAAGATATTATATTAACTAGCCTTTAACAGTCACTATCAGATATTGAAAATTTTACACTGTTTGCAAAAAAAATTACTTTTATCAGCACCAGTCGGCACTTTTCTCAGTCAGATTATGTTAATTGAAAGGGATCTTGTAGTCAACTCACTGGGGGAAAGGTTTACTTATTAACATTGATATTTGCTATCATGAAAAACATAGACCAAACTCAAAAGATTGACACTGCCAGAAATTTAATTCCTTCCCCAGACAACAAGTCAAGAAAAATGATAAAGTTTGGGTATATAACATTGCACTGTAATGTACCAAAAAGGTCGAAAATAGTATATTTGCTGTTTGTACCATAAGTTTTGATGGATTTATTGGCTCAGAACCTTTGGTAATCAGTTTATAAAAAAGTCCAAAGGAAAAAACAAAATTGTTAGAAACACCGGCTTACTTGGATGCTATAAAATAACAGCAAAATGAGAAAATTCACTCTCCCGATAAGTGAATTAAGACATTCACAACGTCAGACGTGGAGCACAAAGTTACGTCGCCTCTCCATTTGTTAAAGAGTGAAACAGAGGAACATTTTTATCTTTTTTATATTAAATACAAAAAATATATACCGAAAGCCGAAAATATTTCCATAAAACCACCAGGGAGATGAACACAGTTTTTCACCTTGTATCGCGGTATGTCAGTGGTAATTACCATGAGCAAAAGGAACCATGTGCGTTTGTGGCGTCAGCAAAGCTCAAAATCCGCCATCTTTTTGGCGACACGATTTGGCCGCGAGCCGGTCCTCCAGGAATTTAATATAGCTCAGTGAGTACAATACTTTCAACTTTGTTGCGGGGAAAATGTCGCTATATATACGCGCGCAAAATTCTACCTAATATTACTATTATTGTTAATATTCCTATTGTGATTCGTATGTTAAAAAATTTTTAAAACTAGCTATACAAGTTAAAATTATAAAGGTAACTGTAAACGTAACATATGAACGAAAGGATGAAAATATCTTACCTTGACTAGTCACAATAGAACAGAAGCTTTAAAATTTAACAAAAATTTGAAGACCCTGTCCATCGAAATCAAAAAGCACATGGATATGAGCGAGTTTAAAATTTGTGTTCTGCGCATAAAAAACGCGCACAACCACAATTCCTTGCGCTAAATAAAATTTAGTTCAGAACCCCCTCTCTGCACAAATCAGACTGCTGCAACGCTCGCTCGCTTCAGGCTCGCTCGCTCCGCAGAAATTATATCAGTGAATCAAGCAGCATTCACGTTAACCTCAGATAACTATTTTTTATTTGAAGCAGAAGTATTTTGTTAAAGCAAGGTACCAGTATTGCAAGCAATTATAAATGACGATATAAGGCGTTTATTGGCGCGGCACGCCGGGCACGGCTAAAATTGGTACTAAAAGTCTCGAATCCAATTTTATTAGTGCTCGGGCTACGAATACAAAGACCTAGCACCGATAAAACATTTTACAACATTTACACACGATAATTAGAGAACTATAGTTTTCATCCATTTGGACCCACAAAGAATACAATTGTTTTAAACTCTGAGTAAATTTCTCTTTCTCTTCTAAAGTCGAACAACAACTATTCCCAACGATACTCACTAAACTTCACCACTGGCTGGTTATTCTTAACGTTTATAAAAGAAATAGAAATGGATATAAAGCCAGAAACAAGTGGAAGTACAAGTGTCGGCGTATATGGTTCGAAACATCTTCCAGAGGATGGAATAACTTCTCAGAGTCCAATGCAGTTTCCACCTTTTACATTAGCAATTGTGAAGTTTTTGGTTAAATATTGTGGTGCTGACTTAAGTTGTAAAGATGAGTGGGGAAAAACTGCTTTACATCATGCTGTCATTGGTGGTGAAACAGACATTGTCAAATATTTTGTTGAACAATGTATCGTTGATGTAAATGACAAGGATAATAACGGGTGGACAGTTCTGCACCATGCTGTCACTAAACGTACGCCAGAAATTGTAAAATATCTTGTTGAACATGACGCTGATGTAAATGACAAGGATAAAAAAAGGTGGACAGCGCTGAACTACGCTGTTACTAAAGATACGCCAGAAATCTTGAAAGATCTTGTTGCACATGGCGCTGATGTAAATGCAAAGAATAATAACGGGTGGACAGTTCTGCACCATGCTGTCACTAGAGGTACGCCAGAAATTGTAAAATATCTTGTTGAACATGGTGCTGATGTAAATGACAAGGATAAAAAAGGGTGGACAGCGCTGAACTACGCTGTTACTAAAGATACGCCAGAAATTGTAAAATATCTTGTTGAACATGGCGCTGATGTAAATGGGGTGAAAAATAACGGGTGGACTGTGCTGCACGATGCTGTTTTTAAATGTACAGTAGAAATTCTAAAATACCTTGTTGAACATAGCGATGATGTAAATGGCAAGGATATTAACGGGTGTACAGTTTTGCATTATGCTGTTAATAAAGGTACGGTAGACATTGTAAAATATCTTGTTGAACATGGCGCTGATGTAAACTGCAAGGATATTAACGGGTGTACATTGTTGCACTATGCTGTTAGGAATGGTACGGTAGAAATTGTAAAATATCTTGTTGAACATGGCGCTGATGTAAATGGTAAGAGTAATAACGAGTCTACAGTGTTGCACTATGCTGTTAGGTTTAATAGATTAGAGATTGTCAAGTATTTAGTTGAAAAGTGTGCTGACGTTACTCTTCACACTCACAATCTTGGTATTGACATCCTCAAGATGGCTGTTGTGAAAAATTCAGTTGGTTTGATCAATCTTCTGTTGGAAAAGAACATCGCTGTGTGGAGAGCTGGACCATTTTTTGTTGAGGGAAGACATATAAGTCTTCTTGAATTGAGTATTCAGCTTGGTCATGATGAAATTACAACTATCCTTAAGACGTCCATAAATCATTGTGAGAAGATTCAGATGTTGAAAGCAATGAATTGCAACCAGTTAAAAGAGGTAATGTTGCAAACATACACGAGATATTTTAAAACCGAGCCGTACAAGCTATACTTGATAATTCGAAATATGTCTATCTGCAAGGGCGTAGGAACCGGGGGGGGGGGGGTTCGCGTCAGGGGCACGTGCGACCCCAAAATTTTTCAAGGGACAAAAATTGCCCTTTATTAACCAAACCTGGAAGCTGGTACCCCCCTCCAATCTCTGGATGCTTCGTACGCCCCCGTCTATCTGCTAAAATATCATGCATGGCGGACTTTCTGTGAAGCTATCTCGGAATAGGGTTTCCATGGTAACGACTTCGTATGAAAAATGCCTTAGTAACTGAGCTTTGACTATTTGCCTTCACTGATAATGCTCCTAACTTTTCACAATAGATAAATTGTACTTTTTCGTCCATAGACAGAAACACCGATGCAGGCTTTTGTCGCAAAGAATCGATTCAAAATTGGTGCTGGTGGTTTTTGTTGTGTCTATGTTGGTCTCATGAAGGATGGAAGTGAAGTTGCTGTTAAGAGAATTTTGGTACAAAGCGAGGATGAAACAGTTGAAAACGAAAAGAAAATCATGAGTCTCATTCAAACAAACTCTCCATTTATAGTGAAATATCGACATTTTCACCGTGACGATACCTTCATGTATCTTATTGTTGATCTTTGCGAAGAAATCTTGAGGGAACTTGTTCATGCATGCAGTATTAAACATCTAAAAGAGCAAGGTCCACGAATGATTAGGGAAATTCTATCAGGAATAAAATTTCTTCATGGCAAAGGAATATTGCACAGAGATCTAAAACCATCAAACGTCCTGGTTGATATCGAAGGTCGCATGAGATTGGCAGATTTTGGAATAAGTCGCGTTGTTAATGAAGATGAAACGACAGTTGAAACAGATGCAAAAGGTACTCGTGGATGGATGCCACCGGAAGTAATTGAAGCAATAGTTAAAAAAGAAAAAAGCCGTTTTAAAAGGAAATCAGATGTCCAGGTCGCGGGTATGATTGCTTTCTTCATCTTAACTAAAGGTGAACACCCTTTTGGATCTGAATTAGACCGAATGAAAAATATTTTGGAGAATAATCCTGTCAATTTGGAGAAACTTGGTGATCGCCCAGCTCGTAGGTTTGTGTCGTGGTTGATTAATCACAAGATTGATGATAGACCTTACGCTCACGAAACACTGAGAGATATCTTTTTTAGCAACACCACAAGGACACAGCGAGCAATTAGACAACCAACCACGACGTTTGTTTGAAATGACGAATCCTTCCTAGCCCAAGTTTGTCCATGAAGGAAAAATAATTAGCGAGGTTGTTTTATCGCACCCATTGGGCATTGCATATTTTTTACACTTGAAATATCCTTGTTATGAAGAGCTTAACACAACGTGTTGTTTGTTTAGGTAGAATATAAATATTACTACAGTCCTCAATATATTGTACACTTTTTCAAAGAAATTATTCATAACTGAGGGGCTGTTCAGATGAGCCAGGTTAATGAGATGAATTTGAAAAAGGTGTTTGGATTATCGAGAACTAGCCATTTCCAGCTGATCTGAGATCATGACGTCATAAAGCGTCTCGACAAACTGAGTTATCATACGCCTGGTGTTATTTGTCCCTATTCTTCTAACTAATAGTATAAAGGGTGAAAAATTTAAATTCTAATTTACAGTTGAGAAAAATGTCTCAGAAACTGATTATTGATAAAAAGCCTTTCTATCTGTTTGGACGAAATAAAGATTCTTGTGATTTTCCACTGGATTACACCTCATGTTCAAGAGTTCATTCTGCTTTAGTCTTTCATAAACATTTAAACAGACCATTTTTTATTGATCTAAAAAGCAGTAAGTGCAATGTTTTGATTTGAAGAACTTAAATAAGTTTACCAGGCTCTGTCTGTACCCTGACACAAACTGATATCCCAGCTAGACTGTAACTTATTGTACATGAATAATTCTGAGTGTAATTAAATATATCTTATTGTCTGAAAAACTGGACTGGCACAAGTCAGAATTTTTTGTGAAGAAATTTGACCCAAATGACTTTACTCTCCAAACATCATAAAGTAGGAATATAAATATTAGTTATGTATCTTGATGTGGATACATTTTTTAAAACTAGTGCTAAATATTTTCACCCAAAATCATGAAAATGAAAGCAAATAGTAATGCAAACTGTATTCAAGAAAATGCTTCAAAATGGCAAAGAATTTTAAACCATTTTTAAACCATTGTATGACAGAAATTATTGTATGACAACAATTTTTGACGAAAATTGGATTGTCTCTGCCTCTGGTCTGCCCAATAAAACACTTGCATAGCAATCGGAGGGTGGGTGAAGGTGCAATCCTACCGCACTTTACTTCCTGGCCAAATTTCTCATTCTTGGAAAATTGCATGATAGAGGGTGTATGCAATGAAATTTTGCAGTAAGCCATCACTTCACACCTTTATACCACCCTCACTCTTTTTCAGCTGTCATGGCATAGTAATAGGAGGGTGGGTGAGGATGCAACCCCCCCCACTTTTCTTCAAGATCATATTTCTCACACTTCAAAGACCTGAAAGATATAAGAAAATTTCCGTGAAGTGCACAAAACTTTCGTAGTTGCCAAATTTACATCTCTGAAAAGTTGAATCGGATCGCAAGTTTCATGATTGCAAAATCGCAGCGTTCAACGCGACCTTAAGGGCCGTTTAATACCACTCCGATCTTATTCTATCGTATTTATTTCCTTCCTGGGCACTCGGTTTGAACTAGTGACTTTAAAACAATGGGTTATATTACGGTACCGTTTGAAGTGGAAAACAGCTTTAAGAGTTTGTAAGGGAATGCAAACCGTAACAGTGTGAACCCATAAGCAATTTCTAGCATCAGAGTACTCTGTGAAAGTTCCGATATAAGCAAGGAGCAGCGTGGCATTGTCTTCAAACAACTTAGCATCAAATGTGGTATAACAACTGCCTAAAATAGACAAAACATTTCTCGACCTTTCGACCTGAGGGCCTTCGTTAGGAGAGTTAGTATGACTAACTGTTTACAACTATATATTCAATGCATAATATTCAAGTTGCTCATTCCAGAGAGATGTAAGAGTGTTATTTAATTTTGACTTATCCACCGTTTAAGCTAAACGGGCTTGATACAACCGGCCCCAGTACCACTCAGTTTAAGATAGCTATTGTAAAGAAACGATGAAGTTTCACTCAGTGCCCTGTTACACAACAGGCAGCCCCGTCACTGCTGTTACGTCATGCTATTATATATGTATATAATTACAATAAGGCTGGCCAATCTCTCGCAAAAAATATATTACATACATTAATACCATCGCTTAAAACAAAAATACTACCGTAGTATCGGCTAGTTTCTTAAAAACAAGACGCCTACTAGGCGTTATATGATCGCGTCGTTCACAGCGGCGTAGCCAGGCCAGCTATGCAAATTTTGTGTCGTAAATGTTCTTAATAATAAAAATGAACAATATAGTATACCGAACTATTTCAAAACCGCTCTACATCTTTTACTTAGGGTAGCCGGTGTAGGCTTACTGTGCTCGACGTGTGCAGTTGTATATATGTGTAATGAACGTAAAGATGAGGAAAGCGGCAACGTTTGAGTTATTTTATTCAATCCAGTGAACTAGAGTTTATGATTTAATCTGATTACCGGCACCAGTGTTTCTTTGACCACAGATAACAGATTCAAACCAAGACGTAAGGCCTGTTTTCCACTTCAATCGTATCGTAGCGTAACGTAGCTGTTGACGCTACGTTTCGGTACAATGAGATACGCTACGCCTACGTTTACGCTACGTAATTTACGTAATTAACTTTTCGAACAACCCGCCCTTGTGCTATTAAGGCGATTCTCCATTACCGTTTGCTTCACCCGCGCGGGCGAAGCGGCCTTTGAAATTCTGTCCATGCGACCGTGACGGGTCTGAAAAACAAAGCGCGCTTCGCCCGCGCGGGCGTAGCGGACGTAATGGAGAATCGTTTAATAGCAGTGAGTTTAAAAAAAATTAAATCTACTATTAACTTACTATTAACTGAACCACAACAGTTTCCCACTAAACAAACAGTACTAAGTAGTTTTTTAGACACCTTTTATAAAAACAAAATATTGTTAACCCCATTGTTTTTATCTACAGTAATTTTCACATTCTCCGATAACAATATAACCTCGCTTAACTTCTCTTCGTCGATTACATCGAGTGATTCATGGGTGCTATTTCCGTCGTTATACTTTTCAATAATCGCTTGCAGAGCCGTTGGGAAAAGCGAATACCACATCACCTCGTCACCTTTCTTTAAAGAAATCCTTGCGGTCAGTTTCTTTTTGCTGTTCTTCACCAGGAAACAGGACTGACAATTGGCACATTTCAGCATCTCAGAACCCTGGCGAACCTGCACTCTTTTGCTACAATTAAGTTACACAGGTGTAGTACGCGAACGTCTCTACGCTTAACACCGAACCACACAAAACCTCATTCTTCTTAAATTGGCTTCTCGCCTGCTCGATTGCATTAGGACCAATGTGGGGCTTCTTACCTGTGATCTCTTTAACGATTGTTGCTTGAGTCGATGATAAGTACTTTTGGCCAAGATATTGCCGAACACGAAGATTGACGATGTCATAATAATGTTCGTTTTCCACGTTATCAATCTCCTTGGCATTACCATTAGATGTGCCTGGGCGATGGATGATCGCAAAATCATACTGTTGAAGCTGGAGGGCCCATCGTGCCAGTTTGCCGGTGGGGTCTTTGATGCTCATCAACCACTGTAATGCATGATGGTCTGTATGGACATAGAATTTTTGCCCATAAAGGTAAACTTGATACTTCTTAATAGCTTCAACAACCGCGAGTGCTTCCCGTTCCGTAGTGCTATAGTTACATTCAGCCTTATTGAGTTGTCGACCGCCGTACGCAATGACAACGTCTCGCCCTTCGATGTTCTGACCGAGAATATAGCCGAGTCCGGTTGCACTGGCATCAACATGTAGATGAAAGGGTTGGGAGAGATTTGAATACGCCAAAATTGGTGGTGTAACCAGGGCGTTCTTCAGGCAATTAAAGGCTCTTTCACATGACTCATCCCACTTAAATGCGGTATTCTTTCTGGTCAACCGAGTGAGGGGAGCGGCAATTGATGAAAAGTCTTTCACGAACCGGCGGTAGTAACTTGCAAGGCCAATAAAAGCACGAATGTCCTTTACACTTCGAGGACGAGGGAAGTCACGTACCAATTGTGTTTTTTTCGGGGTTAGGTTGGATCCCATGTTGGGAGATAAGGTGACCAAGGAAAGACACAGATTGTTAGCCAAAGAAACACTTACTCGGATTCAAAGTAAGGTTAGCCGCTCGTAGACGATCTAGAACTAATCTTAGGCGGGAAAGGTGTTCGTCGAATGTGCGAGAAAAGACGATAATATCATCCAGATATATTAGGCAGGTGTTCCCGTCCAATCCCTGGAGTACTTGGTGCATTAAGCGTTGGAAGGTGGAAGGTGCATTGCACAGACCGAAAGGTAGCACACAGAACTCGTATAAAGCCGATGCCGTGGCGAAGGCTGTGTACTGTTGAGATGATTTGTCCATTTCGACTTGATGATAACCGCTACGAAGGTCGAGTGTACTGAAGTATTTGGCTCCAGAGAGAGCATCTAAAGCATCATCTACTCGTGGAATTGGATAGCTGTCCTTACGTGTAACCGAGTTGAGCCTACGATAGTCTACACAGAAACGGGATGAGCCATCTTTTTTCTTGACCAGGACAACTGGAGCACTCCACGGACTATTGGAAGGTTGGATCAAGTTTGAATGCAGCATTTCTTGAACATGGTTTTCAATCTCTCGTCGTTTGGTGTGGGGTGCCCTGTATGGAGGTTGGCGAATTGGGGGACTAGGTCCGACATCAATTCTATGTTAGACCAGGTTTGTTCGACCCAAGGTTTTGGTTGAATGAGACAGGACGTCGGAGTATTCGATAAGCAGTTCTGAGAGGGCTTGTTTCTCAGGGTTAGACAACACGGAGTTGGTCAGGTTGGGAAAATCAGAAGGCATGGCTGAAGCGGGAGTTGGGCTTGGTGGGGGTGGTGTTCTAGGTGAGTCTTGCAGATCAGGGAAATCAGATTGGTGGATTGTGCTTGCCAAGGGGTTGATAATAGGTAGTGAGGTGCTTCTCTGAGTTGTCGTGGGTAATCCTGTACATGACGTAGGGGTGGGCGGATCAGTAAGAGGTGTGGTCTCGAAATCTTTCTGTGTGAACTGTCCTAATGTGGCACCACAGAAGATTGTAACAGGCTCATCAGTTGGATTTAGTAACCGAAAAGGGATATTTCCTTGTATGTCTGGGCATACCAGGGATGCTGCACCAGCTAGATGGTATCTGTTGAGGAGTCTCTCTCCTGGCTCAATTAAACCAATAACATTATTTGTTATCTGACCAACAGTTGCTGGAATGACAGCTTCGCAATGTGCATCAAATGGGTTTGACTACATTTAACGGGCAAGGAGCTGGGTGGGCAATTTTCATCCGCAAACATGAGCACATTGTCACCCAAAAATTCAACGGTATGGGCACCCATATTGATGATAGCACGGTTTTGTTGCAGAAAGTCGCGACCGAAAACGGTAGAATAGCTAAGACCGGACACTACATAGGCGCTGCAGCTGTATTTTGTATGCCCCAAAGTGAGATCAAAGGTCACAACGCCTTCAATTGGTATGTGAGCACCGTTTGCCGTTTTGACCGATCGGAGCACTTCACTATTTTCTAGGGGTGTTGATGTAATTAAAACTTTATTGTAAAATTCTGTACTGATTACTGTCACAGCAGCACCAGTGTCCACAAAAACTTGTATAGGGGTTAGTGATACAGTACCATTAATCAAAACATTACTGAATTGGGTTGACTGATCCAGGACATTAGTTGATGGGGAGATGGATGGAATTTCCGATCTATCACGTACATTTGGCACTGGGAATTT